GTAACCGGCCGTTGTGCAAGAGTTCTCTCTGTCTCCATTGCGAATTTCATGATTCCGAATAGACAGGCCTTTTCCAATGTTCCATACGGAGGTCGCGTGATTCACCGAGATTTTATAAGCGAAGGAGCAGGAGCCCAGACGGGATTCCAAATGACCCGAAGGGAAAATTTGGTCTAGAGGCAACGAGACGCTTACGTAATGTAGGAGGCTGCACACCTCGCACGTGCCGTCCATGATTCCATCTTAGGACGTAGACAGGACGACTCCTTTCATTGCCGTACGTTATTCCTTCGTAACGCGTGCGGCCATGCTTTACAACGCAACTAATCCTGTGCCCTCGCGGACAATAAAAGGGAACCAAAAAAAGTAATCCTGCCCTTTTTGTGCGTCCTTTCGAAGGATTTAAGGAGTTTTCATTGGTATCTGGCTCAAATACATTGCTTGGCTCTTGCTTGCATGTCAAGTATTGTGGGTATATTGTTTGGGAAGACTTAGCAAAGCAGTTAGAATGCAGTTCCTAACGATATAAATTGATATGTAATGCCGCATACTTTAGATGCTCTTACTACTCTGAAATTTGCATTTTTCATCGTGAGAGCTCCGAAGTGACCGACCGCAGGTCGGACGCGGCAGGAGCTCCCGCGGTCACTACAATAAAGCATTACTCGAAATCAATGATGAAGCAACCGTGCATAAGCACGGGTATACTGCTAGTATTTTATGAAGTACAATAGAGACATCTTTTTTACTAACCCCATCCCAAACATGGTCCCCAGTCAGGAAGCTTATAAAATGATAGAACGGAGACACTTCTTTTCAATACGAGAGGAACCCATAGCTCGGATTCTTTGCGAACACTGTTGATTTGCAACGGGCATTTGGTACCGGCGCCAATGCCGCCTCTCTACCCAAGTTTATAAACACTGGGTCTCATATAAAGCACGTGCAACTCATAGTATGGGATTTGTCAAATCATACAGCTAGCAAGGATCATGTGAATACGCCAGGGATCGCTCTATGAAGATACTCGATTCGTTTTGGGACTGCCCATGTTACCGTACTACCAGATTTACTACTGTTGGTATATGCTAGCATAGCTGAGTTACTGGGGACAATTCGGTGTTCAATCCTTTCGCTAGAGGGTTGAGAAGATAGATATATAACGAATGGTAACATGTAAAGTGTGCTGCTTCATCCCGCTCATTTTCTATGCCCTTGCTACATGGCATGCCCTCGTGCTTGTGCATTGATCAAAATAAAACACTGCGAATCGATCGCTGAGATCGATCAATTGTGTGCTCAGCTCAAAGCGTCCGCGTGAGTGATTCGAAGTTTATACTCGCTCGGCTATATTCCAGAAACGTAATGCTCGATCCTTGTCTTTTGTCCATGAGCTTTGAGGGTCTGAAGATGCCCTAGCGAGACTTCGCTGTGTGGCTCCCGAGCCAAGAATGTGATCTTATTAAATGATCTTATTGTTCTTTGTTCGCAAACGCCATCACCGCATGCTGGGAGGGGCGAGATCCGATCAAAACGAACACAAGGCAGATGACATTCACTGTGAAGCGGCTGGCTTGTCTGTCTATATCAATTCTACTACTACGTATCTTTTTTGTGTGCTTATTATGGGCTGTAAACATATTACACATAAGTAAGCTTCTAATTCACGTTCCCATCGATTCAAAACACGCTGGCACTGTGGCTCTAGCTACGTGGTTGACCCGAGTTTCCACGTGTGCATGCCATATGTGCCGGTGAGTGCTAAGTACCGCCGCAATTTCGAGTCTGCATGTCGAGAAGGCGTGGTCCTCAGAAAAATCCACGAATTTAGTGGGTGAATATTACATCCGCTAGAACCACGGAAAAGTCGCATATTTTCAATCCAGCATCCCGAAGGCCATTTTGGGTGAGATCTTTGCAACCGCAAATGCTTCGCGTCCATCAGGTATCGAAGTCGTGTGATTGGGGCGTCACGTACGCTACCGACGTCCTTGTTGCCAGATGATTTCAAGGTACGTATTCACCGCCTTATCGCACTGCCCGCGATGCATAGCGGATATGTGTCATGTAATGGTCCGGACAATACAAAGATTGTAAATTGTCATTAAACAGGGCGGAATGTGTTTTCGCCAACCTGAGTTTCCCGTGATCTCGGATTCAAGCTCCTCCGCAATGCTCATGACGATGACTCGCGCCTAGGACCCCGAACCGATCTGTTTGAACAATACAACGGTCAGCTCCAACTCTCTAAGCTCACCATCTCCTCGATTTGCCATGCTTTTGAAATCGCGAAACGATTTCCCCTAAACTCGCCGCCATATCACATCCACATTACGAGCGCACATTAAACGCTCCGCGCACTCCGCCTACACGAGACTTTCCCTACGACTATAGTATAGAAGCAGACGAAGCACGGTCAATAGATACAATCCAGCATATTTCCTCACCGAGGTAGTTCAGCCACCTTAAATAAATACATTCATCCCTGTATAGAGACCGTCCACTCAAACACCCGCCGCCCGACATATACAACACCTTTTGCCAAACAAGTGGTATCGGAAATGACTTTGGACACGAGAGATTCGTCGCGAAATCTCAGCCGCCACTGTCTGTGGAGACCTGAGATGGAACTACGGATCTTCTTCCACTGGGTGAGCGTCTCTGTAGCACCGGGCCTCAAGGCAGGATCCACGCGTATCATGCACTGTATAAGAGGTACGAGGAAGTCAATGTTGGAGATTTTCTATTCTAAATTGTGAGCACGTGTATACAGTGGGATGAGGATAATGACACACGTCGTGAAACTCTCGGCGAAAGACATTGCCAATGATAAAAATATCCACTTTGAATGGATCGTAGGGCACTTCAGTCGATAACTCGGGTACTTCTTGGTCTCGCCCAAATGCACCTAGTGCAAGTTTAGGGAATTGATCGGGTGGAATGTGGACGGAGATGCCAAAATCAACATAATAATACTTGATAGGTATGCCAGTACGAGGAAGAGAAGAAGTGGGCGTCAATCCATCTGGTAGGTAGTTTTCTCTGACAGGGTGGTGACCCTGTGGGAATAGTAAGGCTGCATCCATCATGATATTCTTATAAGAGCAATCTCTAACAGCAAACATCAATGCAACTCTAAGATTAAAGGTCAAACTTACCGATGCGCGACACCGTGTTTGTGGAGAAAAACAAGGCCCTAGGAGCTGTCAATATAAAACATAGCGTGTAGCAGCTAATCCCACCTCAAGCAGTTGATCGACTAAATCCACTACATCTTCGACTGTTTCGCAAGGTGGTCTGCTGATAAGCCGGAGAAAAGGCATCACAATATATGAAATTTGGTCATCATCTATATCTTGAAATGTGTCGAGTATAGGAACACAATGATTATCTGGCTCATCGCGAATAGACGGCGCAGATAAATTTATGGCTATCCGAGACTCATTGTCGCCTGTCTTCACTCGCTTGATGTACACAAGTTGACTGTCAGAAATTCTAGTGGCGTCGATAAGGTGTTCACGAAACTACAAGTCGTGAATGATCCCCTCAGTATGACAAAACGAAGGACGCACCGGAAGTGCTATAGAGTCTTCAAACAGTCTCGGATGTAGGCCGCTTCCTCTCCAGGATGGATTCCAACCAGGGCGATATCGTGGGCGCAACATGTATCCTCGTGTTTGAAGAAAGGATTGTCGGTCCCTCCATCGTATCTCCCACTTGGTCAGCTTAGAGAAAAGTTGGTCAGATCTTTGCAGTCTCTCGGACGGCGAGAGTTCAACTCTTGATGATGCTGCCCGCTTCGTAGACATGGGATGAGGATATCTCGCATTGACGAGTTCATGTGGTTTCGGTAACGAGGCCAAGGACAATGGTGTTGGACGAGCAGTCAGGTGACAAGCCAGGACCCGGGACATCATATGGACCCACAATGACATCTTTCAAGCTCCGACAGAAAACAATGCCCAATCTGAGCCCGAGCTTGGCCACCGCGAGACGCGCCCCAAACGGCCCAATCCGCTTTCGTCCAGTGAGATCTGGCGACTTTCCCATCCAATTGACAACGGACTACTTCTTTCAACGTCGTATTGTTCTACCGTTGTAAGGCCCAAAGTTGTCATGTCGGTGACAGTTTGCTCTCGAACTCATTGCCTACGCCGTAATGCCTACCGCATCCGCATTATAAATACTATTCGTCGAATGATGATGGACTCCTCAAGTCTCTCCCCCGTGAACATCGAGTCAAGACTCGAGAACCCCTCCAGTTCCTAGTGACGGTGAGAGATCGTACATGAGCACCTATGCTACTCGTCCCGATACACCTTCTCATTTGTTGATAGATATGAATAGCGTGGCTTGGCAGAAGGCTAATGAGGCGGCAATAGTTCTTGGTATTTGGGGTGCAGGAGTGACAATATTGACGCCCCTCGGAAAATACATGCTCCCACAATCTGCAGGTCAGAAGATCAAGGATGCTAGGACTATGGTCAAGGAAATCGAGGAATTTGTGGATTCCATCGGACCGTGTGAGCGTGCTCAAATCGAACTTGACCGACCGGACTTCTTTGAGCACCTGGAGGACTTCATCGAAAAGTATGACACATTTTTGCGAAAATAGCGTTTCTTTGTTGATTTATAAGCTCAGAACTATCGATACCTTGAATACTCTCGATGCTAATACCATCGATGCCTCCAAATGGACCCGTTACAATTATCCCATGTTTAGCTCTTTACAGTCAAATTTGAACGACATCCGCGATCTCGTTACAATTGTACGCGAGGACATTGTTGTAAGTGTGCATATTCACGCCGTATCTAGTGACCTGTGTAACAGTAGTATCCACGCATGCTAGAAAACCACTGTGGCAGCAAAACGCGGTTCTACGGTAGCTCCCGAATGGCGGTGGGCTAGTACAAAACCTACAAGGTCAACATTAGGTCCGTGCTTTTTCTTTTGTGGTTCGCAATTTTTCTCATCCATGAAAGGCAATATGGTTGGCAGAGTGTCTAGTCTCTTGTTTTCTGGAACAGCTCAAGACCTCCCTGAGATCCCACACCAGTATCCGATGGAGTTCCCAGAGGGATATATTCTGAGCCCTATTCCAAGTGTTTCCGGCTCTGCGTTAGGTTGTTCAGCGGGTATTTTCTTATCATTGCATCGTCAGCTGCTTTTCTCAGTGGCCTCAATCTTAGGTACGACTATAGCGGCATGCACGGCGACGGAGAGTTCTGTAATAGCCCTCAATCGGCTTGACGGTGAGTGGACACACTTGTCATGGTCTCCTGAAGAGATTCATGGGAGATCATATCACAGACTCTCCTGCGTAAAACGAATGGGTCCAGTTTCATCTATAAGCTAATTTGTAAACCTTTACTTATGATGCAGATGCAGCATCCTATATATGTACTCAGACAGATTTCAGCTCATTCTTAAAATACTGTAATAACTTAATTGATGTACATGTTGATCAATCCTATGTGGTGTCGATGGCAACTACGCGAGCAGGAATATTCTTAAAATCTGAGGCTAGCTCTTCTGGACATGGGCTTCATGGCATCCATCGAAGTCCATCTCTGAAGACGCGCGCAAGTAGCAAAAGTAGCTGCAATACCACCCATCTCTGGAATGTACGACGCGGGGTCAGCGGATAATAGCATGAGCTCGAGTTTGCACTAGGCGTAGCCCGTGCAAAGTTGAGTAATGCTCGGCATAGAAATGTACATCTACACGGTGGCCTCACGGATCGCTTTTATCAAAGCAACCGTATTCCGAACCCTACGGTCGCCATGCCAAACTCGCGGCATCGAGAAGGTGATTCATCAAAAACGGGTGTTGACGCTCCCTAAGTCTCCAGAACTTATGAACATTCCAAATACTGCCCCGGATTTGCTTGGGGGCGAGTGCTTCAGCTGCGTCAGGTCTCAGAGCAGGATGCGCGGGGATCATTGCGGTAATGAGGGGCACGAGGAAGCCGACATTAGAGTATTTCTGATAGTCTCATCAGTGAGAGCTTGATTTCGATCGCTTGGCAAGAATGGCTTACATCGTACAATTCCCTGCGAAATACAATTCCAAGGATAAAAATGTTCACTTTGAAAGGATCGTACGGGTCTTCGGCAGACAACTCAGGAAGCTCCTTGTCTTGACACTGATCGCCCAATACAAGTTTAGTATGGACACCTCACGGTATGAATGTGAAAATCCCAAAGTCGACATAGTAGTACCGCACAATAGCTGAAGAACGTGGTCGGGCCCATGTGGAATTGTTCCCGTCTGGAAGACAGCTGTACTTAATTGGATGAAAGCTGTAGGGGAACAGTGCGTTTGCATCCATCATCAGATTCATGTACGCACAATCACTGTTGAAACTTTTGTGAAAACTTTCGGCGAGTGGCCGTACGATCATACCGATGTGCAACCCCTTGTTCATGGAAGAATATGAGGCCCTACACATACTTCTGAGTAAGATAACCTGGATACTCCTATACGAACGTGCTCACCTCGAGTAATTAGTTTTCAAAATCCATAATATCTCCCACCATCTCGAATGGGGGATCGTCAATACACCGAAGGTATGGCATGACCATGTAAGAATGAGAAGGATCATCTTCGTCCTCGAATAGGTCCAAAATCGGAACACAGTGATTGCGGGGGTCTTCACGGAGTGGCCACTTTGAGAACATTGTGGCTATGCGAGATTCGTCTTCGCCGGTCTTCACCCTCTTGATGTACAAAAGTTGTCCGTCGGAAATTCTTTTTGTATCCATCTGGTTGTATCGCTACTACGGACAGGTGGTAAGCTGCAGACCTTAGATAAGACAAACATACTCACCGGCAAGTGCAATGAATCCTCGCAATAAACAACGTGAGTCCCAGACCTTTTCCACGAAGGAATCCAACGTAACATACAGCCCCGGGATTCTAGGAAAGTCTGACGATCTCTCCACCCCTCTTCCAAACAGGTGAGTTCCGAGAAGCACGCATCTGTCTGCTGATAAAGCTCTTCAAGGACGCCAGGTCGCGTGGACTGGCCCGTGGACATGAGATGATGTTAGAGCTCGCTCACTGGTTGTTCCACCGTCATTTAACCCTCTGGTCGGGCACCAATGACACACCACGTGCCTAAGATCGGCCCATCCCACGGACCCACAAGCTAATCGCAGTTATGGGCATGCGGGTGAGCGGCCATGGAATCACGGTGGTGTCTCCGAGAAGGGGGTGTCACACAGATTGAAGTACGAAACATCGGGTAAGGCTAGGACAAGTGAAACGGGTGATAGCGAAGCGTCCTCACATACGGGGACCACTGAGAATGTTGTCGCCTCCGGATATTGTGGTGACCATGACATCAAGGAGCATTCGCAGCCAACAGATGAAGTAGTAGTTGAGATTGGCTGCTCCTGCTTCCGGTACTCATAACACCGATGAGTCTCTTTGCGTCAGAAGCCGTGACCCAAGCCTCAGGCGGCCAACGTGAGCTTCTACAATAGCCTGAGCCTATAGAGGAATCAGGAATTATCAGACTAGGGCCCAAAGCATGATAAAGAAGGAAGATAATGATTATTCGGTGTGGTCATGAAGGGACTTGCTGGCTGTGATAACCTGGTGACGGCATATTGCCATCAGACTGCGGGAATAGAGGAAAGCTGGGCTGCTCGCAAACTTCACGTGCTAAACTGAGTGGCAATAATCTTATCAGTCCTCCAAGCAGCGAGAACGGAGAAGATGTGGACGTTAGGCAAATCGCGAAATGGGTCAATCAGACACACCAAACCAGACAGCATGCAGGGCGACGGGAAATAGGAAAACTATGGCTACCAAGCTGTCTGAATTTTCCGGACTTCAACTCTAATGTCTGTCGAAGTGACTCACCACTGAGCAACACCTGAGCGAATACACACACACGCACCATAGACGGAACAAACAAACATGACTATATTACGATGATATACATGACAATGACTGCAGTAGTTGCAGAGATGGCGGTGGCAAAGGTCATGCCTCGGACTTCTTCCGTTTCTTTTTTGTCGACTCGCCTTCAGCTTCGGCAGCGGTAGAAGCAGCTTTCTCAGCTTTGCGAGCCTTTTTCTTTGCTTTGCGCTCTGCCTCCGTCTCTTCGGTGATCTGGGGTAATCGATCAGTAGTCTGTAAGAAGTAAGCACAACTCTGCTGACCTTCGAGTCTTTGGCGCCGTCACCGTTGGCTTCACTCTCCCTCCGCTTCCGTTTCTTCTCCTTGCTCTCCTCTTCACCATCAACTTCCATCTTATGGTCTGCTTCATCTTGCTCCTCTGTTTTGGCTTCCTTATCCGCCCTCTTTTTCGCCCTCCGCTCCTCCTTCGCCTTCTTTTTTTCAGCCTTCACATCCATGACTGCTTGCACCGCCAGCTCCATAGGTTCTCGCTGAGTCGAGACGAAATCAACAGAATCCGCAGCAGTATTATACGTCTTCGTCTCCCCTGACATTTGGAATCGCTGCTGATTCCGGCCAGACATCGCTGACCTTAGGCCGGAGGCCTCGCCCTGCTGCTCAAGGCTACGTAGTCGTGCCTCCAGCTTCGCGCGGTTCTCGAGGCCTATTGACGGGGCTTGCGACTCCGACTTGCCATCCGCGTCAGTGAGCGCGTCAACACGTATTGATAATGCAGCCTTCGTAGCAACCATACGAGCCATCTGTAATACACCTTTTTTAGACTCGAGAAAACTGGGTTAGCTGTGGTGTAGTCCCACCTTTCCCTTCAATTTTGGTGGCGCTTGTCCGATTAAAGATGCCTGCAGAGGACCTCACAACTTAACAATATAGTTGAAATATTGATCACATGCAACGTACGTGATAAATCAGACCATATTTTGGTGTGTCATGCTTTGTTTTGAGTGCTCGGAACAGTGCTTTCTCAGCACCGAGGATCTGGACAGTACTTGCGGGGTGCTTGGCAAGGCTGAGCAGACTGCCTGCATGGCTGATCAGTCGAGCGCCAACCAGCTCGCCAACGAGAGCGGTTAAGTTAGGTGCAATGGCATTCATGCGATTTCGAAGATATTCTGCGAGCTGCGTTCGGTATGCTGTGATTGCAATAACCTGATCACAAAGAGAGTTGATGTGCGCAATATCAGAGTCTGATATCTCTGTGCCCATGGAGATTTCAGCTGCTGCCTTCAGAGTAGCCTCGAGGTCCTCAGGAAGGATTGCAGCAAAGTCAGTCGTAGCGGCATTTGTACGGAATCCTGAAGTACGGAGGGGGTTGTAAGGGGCACAAGGAAAGTCTCGTTGAGAGTAAACATACCCATCGCCTTGATGACCTTGGCATATGCTTGGTTGTCCACGATGATTTTCGCGAGTTCTGGGAAATGCCAACCATACCATTCCTATGTAACCAATAAGAAAGGCGACCAGGCAACAATTTGTACAACCAACTTTGACACGCATAGCATAGATGTTAATTTCCTTGTCGAGATCGTCTAGCAATGCTATAGCTTGTACGACCATAGTGTCGACTTTGTCAGGGGAGAATTTCAGCTTGAAGCTGAGGTATACCGTGAATATACTGATACAGACGAAGTTCGTCGGAGACATACCGCGATAATGAATGACTGAGACCCAAGCTCATAGTCGCCAAGTCTTTAGGATCCAACCCGTCCAGGAGCGCAGCTAATTGACTGCGTATTCCACGAAAGAGATCCATTGAACTGTCTGCGACGACATTGATCCCAAGCTTCTTATTGATAGAGCGAGCTGATAAAACATTAACACACGGCTGAGTACTTCGAATGACAAGAGTGTAATGGATAAAGTAGCGCACCAAGCTTCGCGTCAAAGACCGCTAGAGTGTCCTTTCCCTTCCCTTTTCCAATAATCTCATCTGACAAAAACTGTTTGAGACCTTTGCCAAGTTTTCCCTCCTGCAGAGCAGTAATATCCTCTACTGCCGTCGCAGTAGAAGTAAACCGATGCAAAGACTTGAGTTTGAGGCTAGTTTACAACGCCCGTGACGAGAAGATACAAGCGGTAGAGAAACAAAAAATCTGAGTTCGCTCTCGTTCCGGAAGCATATGGTACGCAGACATACAGTTTATTGGCTTTCTCCGGTGTCTCGAAATCCTGCCAAACATCGTCACTCGAGATTTTCGCCGAATCCGTGAGCTTGAAGAGACAGTAACCCAGAGACGTTTCGTAGAGAACGAGCATAATTCTCAAGCTCTTTCCGCAGACGAGTTAACGGAAATGAAGCCCGGTTGCTAGATTCTAGTCTACGAGGACGCTTGTGCGAAATATCCCAAACTTTTTGACGGATCAAGCGCCCAGGTCGGACTTCCCGTTTAGGTAGCCATACTTTCGTTCTCTCTCCACGTGACTCACACGTCCTTATCTCGAGACTCGAGTCTACGACCCTTTGGCTAATATTATTTTAATTTCAAGCTTATACTCCATACCATAAGGTACATGCAGAGCATAATGCTCTGCAGTAATCGAACGGGATCGCCGTTCCGCCTCGATCCCGGGGGTAAATAGCGAACATCAGTTTCCTAAGAAAAAGGATGGCTGCCTATCTCTGCGACTCGGAGTCTCGGACGGACCGCCGACGGGCGGAAAGTACTTGAGCGATTGGGACCTGAACGGAGAGTGAGACACATTCCAGTGACTCCCCATCTCGTTCACGAACATGTTGCTTGCCTCAGGAATATGGATTCTCTGTCTGTCAACAATAGGCCTCGCGGGGAACGTGCAACGCGTTCTACCCTTCAACGCGACGCGGTCCTCGTCAGCTGGAATTTCTCAAAAGATATCGCAGGTTGTGCCCGTGCCACGACAGTCGTCCTCGCTGTCTTCTTTGGGTTTCGAAGCGTACACTGTCTTGGATCTCCCCCAATTTCCGGCTCATCAAGTCAGGGTCAAGAAAAGCGCGTTCTGTGATCCCACTGTGAAGTGAGTAATATGATTCAGTTGAGGCCGTGTTCTCATCTAACGAGTCAACAAATGCACTAGCGTTTATACTGGTTATCTAGACGTTGACTATGGGGCGAAGCACATGTTCTTCTACTTTTTTGAGAGCAGGCGTGATCCAGCCAAAGGTGAGGGAGAATATGCATTTCCCCTCGCTTTTAGTAACACAACGGCTCTATTTGCAGACGATGTCATGATGTGGATCAATGGAGGTTAGTTATATCTATATATAAGAACGTTGTGAACCGACCTGTTATACGCATAGGACCTGGCTGTTCATCTGCTACGGGTTTACTGATGGAACTGGGTTTGCTTGACCGTGCTCTATCACAGAGGGAGCTATAGACTGATGGCACCAATAGGACCCTGCAGCATCGACATGGATGGATCTTCGCCAAATGGTACGCTGTGGAACCCCTACTCTTGGAACACGGAGGCGAACATTTTCTTCCTCGATCAACCGTATGCCACATTGCAATTTGATTGATGGCACGCCCTTAAACAAATACTTTCTGATAGTGTGGGCGTGGGCTTCTCGTATGCTGATTACGGAGAGACCATCGAGACTACAGAAGATGCGGCGAAGAACGTCCATGCGTTTATCTCGATCTTCTTCGAGACATTCCCTCAGTTCGCTGGACGGACTTTACATTTATCCGGTGAATCGTACGCGGTATGTGATCCTTAGCTTTCACTTCGACTCTGATTAGATACTCAACCTCAATACGATTTCACTCTCAGGGACGCTATCTTCCCGCTTTTGCTAGCTATCTCTATGACCAAAATACGATCGCAGTGGCAGAAGGGCGTGAACCTCTTAATCTACAGAGTGTTCTCATCGGTAATGGGATCACGGACATCTCGACGTCCGTGCTTTCTCCAGTTGTTAGGTGTAGCTGTTGGCTTATACTTGGATTAGCCTCTATCCCGGGCGATACGAAATTGAATGCGGAACTGCTGCTTTGGAAGTGCCATTCCAGACGATTAGTACGTGCGTACGCATGAAGATGGCGGTGCGTTTTCGCGTCTTCTTGGAGCAAATTCACGAAATGCTCAAATTTCTTGCAACACTTAACAGCTTCCCCGGTGTCAGGATGCAATGATGAAGAACTGCGTGGACCAATTTGATTCCATGGATTGCCGGGCTGCCGTCAATTTCTGCGATGCTGAGATGAGCACGGGATATTGGGATAGTGGTAAGTCCACCATGATAGTCGTATTAGACGATTGTTTATCCTGTATATCCTAGGACGAAATGTGTACGATATCTCCAAGGTAACGTTGTTCTCGTCGTTCAACATGTATACTAATAACAACGATCTCCTCAAGATGTGTGTGAGCGATTCGCTGTGCTACAATGAACAGATTGCGATCAAGAACTTCCTTAATCAACCGTCCATCCGCGAGCTCCTTGGCGTCGAGTCCCCCAGGAACTTTACCGGATGTGATCGAGATGTTGCAACGAATTTCAACTTACACATGGACAAGTGGGCCGTCCCTTCCCAATACTATGTTGCCAACCTCTTGGAACGCGGCATCCGCATGCTCATTTATGCGGGGACATACGATTGGCAATGCAATTGGGTCGCGAACAAATTATGGGTTGATAAGCTCGAATGGCTCGGACGAGATGCATACAGCGCGGAGGAGTGGCGCGACTGGATTGTCGACGGCAAGAAGGCGGGGGAAACGAAGAAAGCGGGGATGCTGACGTTTGCTACTGTCGTCGGAGCGGGACACATGATGAGTGTTCAACTTTGATCATGGCATCCGGCGGTGGTACTGATATCAGTGCCCTCTACGTCCCATTTGATAAACCTGCGGAAGCACAGGCAATGGTCTCGAGATGGCTGGCGCATCAAGATCTTTAGATCAACACCCCTCAAATTGGTGTAGTATGCATCAAAGTTGATCATAAAGGCTGTCAATATATGTGGTGCTAACCTGCCACCAGCTGATGGCATTCTGGAGATATATCTGATGCGCATGTTCGTTGTCCTAATCTTGGGCTGTGAAAACCACTGTGTGAATTTCCTGTCGACAAGGGTGTTGCCGAGTTATACGAATTGGTGACATTGCCAACAGATACCTATGCTTACAGGTTGGTTTGTGGACGTTCGAGCTCGAGAATGAGAATGAGCATCGGCGAAGGCGAAGATGTCGGTGTACGAGTCGAGCTGGCCAGGCACCTGACATGCGTTTCCATGGCAATGGCCCTGCACGATTTCGGGTCGGAACCCAGGATGGTGGTAACAGCTATCAGATATCCGTGTGCAGCTGCGGCGAGTTCTATACTTAAGACTCTGTAGCAATGGTCGTCATCACACCCTTCTTTCCTCTTCTCTCTTTCTCTCTTAGTGCTTCAGGTATGTGCGATATGTATTTCGACTGTGGATACTGTGTTGAACCACGCCAAATGTATCACCGCTCATAGTCACTATCTGGGCTGCCCGGTAGCGCCCCTGGACAACCTTCGTTCTTTTCCATCCAACTGGAGTTCCAGCAGGCTTTTATTTCACTGGTAGCAGCGACAAACAGCTCGCGATGCGTTCCCCGTTGTCGATCATTGCCGCTCTTGCGGTCCCTCTTTTGATTCATGGAGCCCCGGTAACGAAGCGGGTAGCAAACTCTACGGACGTGCTAGTGCTTCGTGAGTTCTTGAATGGCTCTGCTTGAGAAGTGCGTCTTGATCCCAAGTCGGTTCAGAGTTTGCTGGCGTGTTGGAGCAGCTTGAGAGCGAGTTTTATTCACAAGCGCTAGCCAAGTTTCAAAACGCCGACTTCACGGCTGCTGGTTTCTCGGATGCACAAGTTCCCATCCAGCAGTTCGAAGCTATACAGAGCGACGAAGATACACATCTTTCCGTCATAAACGTATGTGCTCGTGCTCGAAACGACTGCCCGGTGCATTCACACTTTTTGTATGCAGTCAACCTTACAGTCTCTCGGAGCAGAACTTATTTCGGGGTGTCAGTTCGATTTCTCTTCTGCACTCACCAATGTATCAACTATGGCAGCAACCGCTCGAGTTGTCGAGAACCTAGGAGTGTCAGCATACTTAGGAGCCGCTAGCATGATTTCCGATCCTGTGCTCCTCACCGCTGCTGCATCGATTATGTCTGTGGAGGCCCGCCATCAGACAGTCCTGAATGTGCTGAGCGATGCTACGTCCATCCCGCAAGCGTTTGATATTGCTTTGAGCCCCAGCGAGGTTCTGGCTGTTGCTGGTCCATTCATCTCTGGTTGTGATATTCCCATTACCGGTATGTCTCTTGACTCTGTGCCGTGGAATGTATTTCAAACACTCCCCCAGCAAACCCCACTCTGGACATCACCAATACAGCGCCTGCAGTGCCTGGCACAGCCCTATCCTTCGCCTCTACAGCCTTGAACAGTTCAACCGACGTAAGTTTCTGGCAGTTGGTTTTCCTACGACAACTCAGCATTCCTCTCTTCAGGGCCTATTCTGTCAAATGATAGTCGGAGGCGCAGCTTTCTCTGTCTCGCTTCCTTATAACAGCTGCGTCGTCCCTGAAGGCATCAACGGGCCCGTCGCGCTGTTCATCACTTCTGGCAACCAGCCCATTGATAATGACATCCGCGAACAGAACACTAATACGGTGATTGCAGGCCCTGCGATGCTCTTTGTCGACGCGGAGCCCGACCTGCTTGGGCAGCTTGCTGTCTCAGGGTCGGTGTCCGATAGCAGTACGTCCAGTGGGACGACTTCCAATAGCGGGACGACTTCTGTCAGCGGGACGACTTCTGTCAGCGGGACGTCACCTACGTCCAGCATCTCTAGTGTGTCCCCAACCTCTACGAGTACCTCCACTGCTACCACGAGTTCGGTCTCTAGTAGCTCTTCGACTGCAAGCGCTACCCCTACAGCTGTTACTGTGTCTTTGAGCCCTACCGAGACGACATCCGTCATGACTGGCACCTTCACCGAGACGATCTCGCCATCTCAGGCGAGCGCTATAATCTCCCAAGCCATGTCAATACAACTGGCGGACATATCTGGTACGAGTAGCGCCGCGCCAGCAGCAGCGACGGCAGCAGCAGGGTCCACGGACATCGTCGCGTTCCCCGGTGGCCCAAACACGTATGTTGGACCATCGGCAGATGGTACCATTGACGTTCTTGGCTGGTCGACGACTCCGGCTTCCTGAGCTCTTAACATTAGTGGAGTGCCAACTTCGTTGAGGCAAGTACATACAATGCAATGCATAGACTAAAGATGGACTTTTTAGCGACGAGGACTTTTCGCGTGCTGTTTGTGTATCGTTCGTGTTCTAGTACGGCTCTACGTACTCTTTTCTGCTTGTTACTATTCCTGCTGTCCAGTTGGACCTGTTCATATGGAAACTGATGAAGAGGAAGCGTGTATTGAGCATGGTGGTCGTTCAGAAGGAAAGCTCGTGTCTGATGGCACGTGGCTACCATGTAACCATGATCGATCTCAATTCCGAGGCCGGACGACTCCGAGTCCCAATTCCAAACGGTTGTGCTGAGCAGGACCTCTGACCTCGACTGCCACAAACGGAATGAACAGCCCGTCACCCGTAGATAGCTCATCGTCTTTCTTCAGTAACGTCCTCACGCCAGGTTCGTCTTTGCACCCAACCTTTCTTCTTGTGGTAGATGGTGCGTTTGGTGCACTGCTGGTCGTCTTGCTAGCTCTCGCAGCTGTTACGCGCGGAAATTTGCATTTCTTTGCGCTCATCTTGATTGAACTTGGTTTATGGGCAAGCGTGAAGTGGTGAGCCTACTCATGTGTGGGAAGTATGGATTCCTGACAGAAGAAATATCTATGCAGGTTTGTTCACGAGTTGCAGAATGTTCCAGCGCAGGAGGGACAAGCCGCGACTGCGGGCGGGAAGAAACAAGCATCAAGGCTAAAGGACGACTGAATACACTTATATAATTTACATGCGACTGTATACGGCGAATCATGCATGGTTCTCATCCATCCTCACCGCCTCCCGCGTTCACTCGTCTCATACCACCGCTTCGTTCGCCGAGAGCTTTCCTGTGCCAATACGAACACTTGAATTAATCCACCCCATAAAAGACGTTAGTCAGCGCATCACAGACGGTGAATGTCAGACGTACGCTCTCGCTCTGTTCCGTCTAGCCCTTCTCGAAATGCCATTGTTGCCTCATCGCTTCCAATTCCGCCTCCGCCAATTCCAGATGCAGCTGCGGCATGCACAGCAGCAAAGTGCTGTGCTTGGTCGATCACTTCCGGCAGCCGTGCTCGAAAACTCTGTAGGATTCCGATTGGGTGAGGTCTGAAGGAATGGTTCGGGGTACACTTGCCTTCACAAGCAAGTCTGAGACCTCCTGAGCCGGAGCGTCGTTCAATCTGGAAAAAAGTTACGCTGCTAGGCTCATGCATGGCGAGATAGACTCACAGCCGCATGATCATCCTGCCAAAACCATACCACAACCCACCTTGGCCAACCAGGCTAGAGAGGCGCACACTACGTGCTTCCGCATTGAGCGCATTACGCACGCGAGCGGAGAAGGGTGGTGGAATGGTGAAGTCTGCGTAATTGCTAGATGCTCATGGCGTGAGATGAGGCGTGTCTTGAATTTGGTCACTGCTCACGAGTAGATGAGGATGTACGCCATCCACATGGGAATTTGCGCCTTACTCAATGCTTTCATCTACATTCTCAAATGCGTTGGTGTCTCCGCCAATACGAGCTTATTGAGACGTACGTCGCGCTCGTTGCCGCCGTCAAGATGGCCCATGTCGGGAATGTCAATCTTGAAATTGCATTGAATCTTCTGATTTTCCGCGAGGATTGATTCGATGGAGTAATAGTCGTCCTCCATTGTCGTATAAATCAATGGACAACGTTGTTAAACACGCGAGACGCGTTCAGAACGCGGTAGCGCGTCGTTTCCCACGCTTGGTTGCCGCAATCTCGGATTCGGCGTGACGTTCCTTGCCACCTCTACCAACACTCTCAGTGACATAATGCTCAGGTCCGCCATTTGTCGCATTCCACTGTACCGCATCGCTGCCGCTCAAAGCCTCCGGTGCCATCTTACTATTCTCCATGTTTCGCGGAGTCCGAGCCATCCACAACGTGACTTGCGGCATGCAGAATTCTCGACAACACCTCGACGATGCGCCTCCGAGGAACCTAATGCTCAGGCCGTTCTTGAGACGCAGCAGAAGCTCGCACGAATATTACAGCAGAAGCCCGAACTTCAACAATTAGTGCTGGAACTCAAGGGCATCTTAGAGCAGGAAGGTGCGTCACGGAACCTAGGTGCACAGTGAGAGACGCTCTGAATATTTCTGCGCGTAGGTCTGGATCTCCAGGGGCAGACGATGCCCTCGAAACTTCAGTTGCTACGGCTGTTCATGAAACCAGAAGTAAGAGACGCGGCGACGAAGTTAACAGCAGCTTTCCAGGAGGCCGGTATAAACCCACAAGTGCGTCGTTTTGTGTGAGAGTATATGCGATGCGTGATTGAATTATCCCTCAGGAAATGATGGGACAGATGATGGCCATGCAGAAGTTCTTCGGTGATTTGAAGAAGTAATGTTGTCCGGCTGGTATTGATTCGCATGCGATGATAAACTGACTTGTTCATTGTTGTGCTACCTGAGGCGAATATGAGCCCAGACAGCAGCGTCAGTCAGTGCTATAAATGAAACGGTGCAGATAGGCTAGGATACCGTGTTGCATTCGATTGCCTTCTGACCCATCCACAAAACTTTGATTAAATTACAAAGGAACATAGTCTAGGGCTCCACAGTCAATTTGATGACTGGACCTCGAATATAGCGATGGCGTATGGATTCCACCTTCTCAACGTTTAATGACTTCGTAGCGGATAGATCGGTATGTATTCGAGAGCAAGTCAGCGGGCTGCCATCAGTTTCTAGATCAAAGAACTACATTATCATGAACAACGAGTTGCTTAAGTGGACATACAAGTCGTGCGCGTATGCCCAGGAACACTGCTAGGCCCTCGATGTGTACGTTCTTCTCTATGATGGACAACGTCATCCGTTCTGGGCGGCGTGCACCAGCGCTCGGAGTGAGCGGTTGTGCCATGAACGTTAATGCAAAATTTAGCACGATGTGGTTGAGGTCGTAAATACTCAGTGCAGTCAATGCTGGCATGCAGGTACGAATGGATGGCTGATGCTAAGGTTGCCAGACAATTGGATTTCTCTGATGACTTTGGTAATGATAGTGTGGTGCATAGGGTCGTTGACCTTTGCTTTGGAAGATCTTATGTATCGGGTGTTCCTCGAAGTGCAACCGGCCCCAGAAAGCCAATCAACTTGCAGCGAGCAGGATGGTCCTTAAGCAAAAATGTTGAAGGTGAGATTCGCAAAGTGCTCGAAGAAAGGAAAATGTGCTTGGTGAACTGCGGACTATGACAAAACATATCGGGCCGCCAACGACGATGCATGAATGCAACAGAAGGTAAATCTCCTGGATTAGAAGCTCCAGATAGAAAACTTCAAAAGATCTCCGATGGACACAGAGTGGCGAGTGTGTTGAGATAAAAATGCGCTTCGGACTTGAGGGGATAACAAGAGAACAAGGTAAGGCGGTAAATTGCCAATACTCAAAGTCGCGATGGCTGGCCTCATTGAAGTACTTTTTGCTTGTGAAGTGGTACTAGGGTCAGTTCGACATCGGAGTTATCCTGCAGGAAGTACGCGCACGACCATTCATGTTTTTGCACACCTTTGCTCTGCTCGTCTGAATATGAATGAGCGTGGTACTCGGCAAATTTGAATCTCTCACACAAGTGTGCACCGTCGTAGTAGGAATGTGCTGTCGTCATAAGCGTTGTCCCAATCGTCAAACTCGAATGGCGCATTAAGCGCTGATACCTATGGGCCATCCCGACGCAATCCCGCATAAGGAAGTCGCCCGCCGCACGCTCCAAGTCTGGCAAGCTGCTGTTCCTTTGGCTCCTGAGTGCACTCCTCATTGATCTCGCCTACCTTTAGCAGTCCTACATGGCAGACTCTGGGCCATCGACATCGACGCTACCACCTTCACTGGTTGAACCAGCACCTGAGCGGCCCTTGCCATCTACGCACTTCTACTCCGTGGAGTACCCTGGATATGTAAAGGCTACATCCGTTCCGCTCGCAATAGAACGTCTTGGAGGCCAGAGGAGTGTTGAAAACGCGCTCAAACGCGCCGCGACCAAGTCCGAATCCGTTCTCGAACTGCGCCTGCACTCAGGCAATCCCTTTGCGCATCCTATTGCAGGCGATGTGGTTTCGACAAATAATATCCTGCTCAAGGTCGTGAAGCGTAAAAGAAAGAAGCAGGGAGTGTCGTCCTCGGAGGGTGGTGTGGTAGGTGAATATACAGTAGAGGCAACTGGGACCATTCCCAGAACGGCGCGATTCAGAAGTGGGTCTTTCATGTGTTTTGAGTGAAGTGAATTCGTATGAACATGTACAGGAAGGTATGGCAGACTTCCAGTACCAGCCCGACATGGACGATCCTATAACAGATCTCCGCCTCGCCATGCAGTCTATGAACGGTGCGTCATATTACTATTCACGCCGTTGCCAGACCCAAATTTTGGTTTGCAGTGGAGGGTATCATGAATTTCAGAATTCCGCAGGAGAAAGAGGACTATTATGTCCCCAAAGACCCTTCGGCAATGGACATTGACCCTGATCTCAATGCAGCGGGCATCAGTGATCCCCCTGGCTCTACCCTGAAGAGCAACCTACGCCTCTTCCCGCCCCCTTTATTCAGTCGCCAAGTAATCCCTCAAAACTACAAGTATGCTTGCTCTCGCGAATATTGCATATTACTCTACCTACTCACATCGAGTCCAATAGCTTTAAGGCCAATCCTGCGTCGGTTGTTACCACCTATGTAGACGAGGAAACTGGCGAGGAGAAGAAGCGGCTAGTTAATAGAATGAGATGGAAGGGATATGGTCCCGTCTCAATCACCTATGCAGAGAAGACCGTATGTCTCCACTCGTTTGTCAAGTGCGTAAACTGACCTCGAGAAGGTTCCAGACAAACCGTTCGCGTCAGTAGAGGAGCAGCGCGATAAAACTAATCAAGCATTGCTGAAACGATTGCAGGAGGTAGTCATTTTTGAAACGTGGCCTTTTATACTTGTAATTGACATCTTCATCTGTTTGCAGCTGTTCCAGGAGCGCCCTATCTGGACCAGAGCCGCAATTTTCAATCAGTTTTCACCGTTTGAAATGCGTGAGATTATCAAGTTGGATCAGTGTCACTTGAGTGAATGGAACCATCACTGACTTTTGCCTCTCGACACAGCTCCAAAGTCCTCCTGCCACTAGTTTCGTATGTCTTCCAAGATGGACCTTGGCGCGACACGCAAATCCGCCTTGGTTACGACCCGCGGGAGGACCGTCGGGCACGTTTGTGAATAGCTATATGCTGCACTAGCTCGCCGCTCCTGACATTGTCATCGGCTCAGTTTCCAGAGATTGTACTTTCGGAACACCAGTCATCCCATCGTCCGGCCTTCCGTTGTCAGTAAACGACAAGAAGGCCGGACGGAGACCGCCATGAACCGCGTTATTGACGCACAGGGAAGAGAGGAGGACAAGAGGTATTCTTGCATTTCGGAAATATATGTAGATACTCACAGCATATCTTCACAAGGTCGCATATCTTTGATGGACTCACTGTCAAAAAAGAGACTGCCGCGTTCCAATTATGCGATATTCACGACCCGATGCTTAAGGAGATGATCGAAGACGAAGACGATCTCCGAGAGACGTGTAACGTAAGCGTCATTGCCAGCTTTGATTTGCACACTTTATGAAGGAAGCGTTTACTTTCTTGCAGGAGCGCGACGGTTGGTACTCGACCCACGCATTTGAGCGGATAAAGACGGTACTCAGACACAAATTCTTCTCACTCCTTGGTGGACACATTGCCACGCGCGAAGAATGCGAGGCACTGCTTGTTCCGCAGGAAGGCACCAACAAACTCCCGCCTGCCCCGAGGCATCGCCTAAGACCTGGCAAGCACAACATGGCAAAAGGCGCGTTGCGTCCGGAAGATGCTGCGGTAAGTCTCGTCAATGGGCATGATCTCTGATCGCTTTACTGACGCCTTTATCGCAATCAGGCTCAGAGACTGGTAGCGGCGCTGCAATTGCAACAGAAGAACGCGAGCGAGAATCGATCTCAGGAGCAACGGTGACAGGCTGGCTTGTGTCGCTCCCCGCTGTCGAATATCACCGAAATGTAGCGATAGGATCCAATTGTCATGATCCCTGTACTTTGCAACCAGATCAAACAAGGCCGGCATCGAGTGTTTTTGGGCTTTTCATTTCTGGAGAGCAGTCCTAAGCATACCGCGGTGCATATATGCATGGTGAAGACAACGATGGTTTACATGACGGTATGCCGTGCCCACGAGCAGTCTGGTCCGCTCCGACATCTCAACGCCCCCTGGATCGCGCGCACGGTGAAAGACGGTTGCTGCAGATGGCAACATCACGATTCTGCCTTTGCCTCCTTTCGCGCTTGTCGCTACGGAGGGAAGTTAGCCAGGCGAAACCAGTATATGGCATGGATAGGACGCACTGAACCGATCAGCGCATACTTTGCGTTGCGGCGGAACTGCGAGCAGAGGTTTGCGAGAAGAGCTTTTGAAGGTGCGAGATCAACATACCTTGGGGTCAACCTGGAGAACCAAAAGTTCATGAGTACCGCGTACGAGTAACCGTCGAGAAACCAGGAACGTACACCCTTCATGGACCGTGTCCTGTGGCTCTTGGGGTTCTTGATACCATTGCGGTGAGCCTTGCGGGTTTGGTTGTGGTTGGTATGGCTGGACAGAGAAAAATCGGGCCGTCAGTGGGGATTTTTGCGCACAGCAGCCGAGTTGTAAGACGTACTTCTTAGATTTGGCCATGGCGTCGGATGTGTCTTGAGGATGGGCTACTTACCGCGGTGGCGAGCTCACTGCGTCGCCAGCCTGGGAATGTGCGAGGGCGGGTGGCTGAAGAACTGTGCAGTTGCATGATGACGGCAGATGCCGAGGCCGGCGCGGCGAACCGGACACGACCGGTCCAGCTGCTCAATATCGGGCTGCGGATCTCGGCGGGAGGGTCGGCCGAACGCAGGCAAGATGGGCCGCCACATTCAATTTCCCCGCGCACCTCCTCTCGAGTCATTCCCGAGTCATTCCCCTCCGCTGACTCACTCCAACTCCATCTCTACTCGACGTTCTGCCCTTTGTCTCAAGAGACAGACAATCCAACATGCCTGCACCCGTTCAGCAACCTCGGACCCTATACGACAAGATCTGGGACGATCACGTAGTGTGCGCGCTCATTGCTCTGAACAATACATTCAGGATAACACTGACAGGTCAACGATCATAGCGATGTTCAGGATGACGGGCTAGCTCTGATCTATATAGATAGGTATGCGCCGAACGCAGTGGCTTTAACACGTCTAATTTCGCGCTACAGGCACTTGGTGCACGAGGTAACCAGCCCTCAAGCATTCGAGGGATTGTACGTCCCGTTTATTGCCTCGCGATGTCTCGCGTACTGACAGCATGACCAGACGCAACGCGGGCCGCGGCGTTCGTCGCCCCGACTGCACTCTCGCGACCGTGGATCACAATATCCCGTGAGTGCTTCATGAAGTACGCGTCGACGGGGGGCTGACCCATATTCAGCACTGTTTCCCGCAAAAACTTTACCTCGGTAGATTCATTCATTGAGCAGCCGGATTCGAGGGCGCAATGTCAAGCACTAGAAGAGAATGTTAAAGAGTTCGGTTTGACATACTTTGGAATGACCGACAGACGACAAGGTGGGACCTACGATTATTGATCATGAATACCTCTTACCCTAGTTCTTGTTAGGAATTGTACACGTTATTGGGCCTGAACAAGGTTTCACTGTATGTTAAGACAGTTTCGTGCGGAAGACACCTCAGCTTAGTAATTTCGCAGCTTCCTGGAATCACTTGCGTGTGCGGTGACTCCCATACTTCGAGTATGTCGGGTCAGTTATCACAGATACTTTCTGCTGAGATCTGTCTTAGCACATGGAGCGTTCGGCTCTCTAGCATTCGGCATTGGAACTTCGGAAGTCGAGCACGTTCTGGCCACCCAGACACTGCTCCAAAAGAAGGGCAAAAACATGCGAATCAGCGTGGAGGGCACTCTACTCGAGGGTGTCACGTCCAAAGACGTGATCCTGCATATAATCGGTGTCATCGGAACAGCAGGTGGCACAGGCTGCGTTGTTGAGTACGCCGGGAGCGTTATTCGCGGGTTCAGCATGGAGGCCAGGATGAGCATGTGCAACATGAGTATCGAGGGGGGTGCTCGCGCAGGCATGATTGCACCAGATGAGGTGACGTTCAACTACCTACGCGGCCGGCCCCTCACGCCAAAGGGCGAGGCATGGGACCGTGCCGAGGCGTACTGGCGCACCCTCCACTCTGACGAGGGCGCGAAGTTCGACATTGAGGTGAACATCCGTGCCGAGGACATTCTCCCGACGGTCACCTGGGGCACCTCGCCGCAGGACGTCGTCGCGATCACGGGTGCAGTGCCAGACCCAGCCAAATTCGCAGATCAGAAAAAGCGCGAGGCCGTCGAGCGGTCGCTGAAATATATGGGCCTTACGCCGAACACGCCGATGCAGGATATCAAGATCGATAAGGTATTCATTGGGTCGTGCACAAACAGCCGCATCGAAGACTTGCGCTCTGCAGCACGGGTCGTCCTTGCAGCAGGTCCGGAAGCCAAGGTTGCCGAGGGTGTCGTCGCAATGGTTGTGCCTGGTTCGGGGCTGGTGAAGCAACACGCAGAGGCCGAAGGCCTTGACGCTGTCTTCAAGCGCGCAGGTTTTGACTGGCGAGAGGCAGGTTGTTCGATGTGCCTGGGGATGAACCCGGACAAGCTCGAGCCAGAGGAGCGGTGTGCGAGTACGAGTAACCGTAACTTCGAAGGTCGTCAGGGCCCTCGTGGCCGCACGCACTTAGTCAGCCCCGCGATGGCAGCGGCAGCAGCTATGACAGGCAAGCTGACAGACGTGCGCAAGTACCTTGTTGCGGGAACGGAGTCGGGTCCCAAGCTGAAGCTCGCAAATGCCCTGGAATTTTTGACGGACGCTGTGCTTGCGTCGCCGGAGCCCGAGGCACCTGCTAAGACTGCGCAGTCCACGTCCGACAAGCCCCTTCCTGCGGCGGAGGCGCCCTCAAGTGTTGCCCCGTTGAAGATCGTGAAGGGCATTGTCACGCCGCTGCATATCGAGAACGTCGACACGGATATGATCATTCCCTCGAAGTTCTTGAAGACGCTCAAGCGTACTGGCCTCGCAAATGCATTGTTCTACCCCCTGCGGTGGCACCCACAGACTGGCGAGAAGACTGACTTCATCCTCAACCGGGAGCCGTACACGCGATCGAAGATCCTCGTGTGCGACGGCCCGAATTTTGGCTGCGGCAGTTCGCGTGAGCACGCACCCTGGGCTTTGTGAGTCACGGTCAGAATCTGTCAGGTAATTGATCACTCACCGGCTTGTATCATGGCAGGAAGGACTTTGGTATCCTGGTCGTGATCGCGCCGAGCTTCGGAGATATCTTCCGCAACAACTGCATGCAGAACGGCATGCTGCCGATCGTGCTCTCAGAGGCTGAGTGTCGTGCGCTGGCAGAGGACGCTGAAGCAAGACAGGAGCTCGAGGTCGATCTCGAGAAGCAGGAGATTCGACGCGCGGGCGGGAAGCCCACGGTTGCCTTCACCGTAGACCCGTTCCGCCGGCACTGCTTGCTAAATGGCTTGGACGATATTGCGCTGACGCTGCAGAAGGTGGGTGGTATCGAGGAGTTTGAGAAGCGGAGGAGCGAGAACTGGCCGTGGTTGGACGGATTTGGATACAAGGGAACGAAAATTCCGGTCGCTATCGAGCGGAAAGTCAAGCAGATGGAGTGGTAAGCGTCTGCCCGTGCAGCATTCGCGCCTTCCATTCAGATGTGGTTGTTGGCGGTCTGTACGTCGCGTCGACTTGTGTACTTTGTATATTGCGAGATGTTGTGTAGCGCTTATGGAAACGATTACTATCGGCAGTGATATTGATTGGTGTTGATCAAAGCGCAACCAGGGTCCGCGCATCTCCCTTCGACGTCACTTGCCAAGGGTAGGGAGTCACAAGCATTTGCCCTCTTCCTCTTCCTTCTCTTTCTCTATTTCTTTCTCCTTCTTCCAATTTACTCAGTATTAATCATTGAGGTCTTGACATCCGAGTCTTAGCCCGACGAGGTAGGCATCAATAGGGTACAGCTCGGAAGCACAGCAAAGGCCCTCTTGTGATGGTTGATGGTAAAGGCCGGGCTCGAGAGCTGAGCAACGAGTGACGACCGCGTTGGGGCGCGAGAACACGTGAGCGTGTAGGCGAGGGCGGCGAAGTGTGGACGGCGTCGACGACCATGCCGGGCGCTGTTGCGAGCCTGACGACCTGAGCGGTGCAGCACAACGAATGCAGCTTTCCGTCTTTCCCTCTCCCTGCTCGACATGCTGAGTGTCGGCGACGACCCCAGAGCTCAGTCGCGCGTGCACCGACCGCTCTCTTCCGAAGACAGTGATTGCGGAACTGAGACCGCATCCGCAGGCACGTCCCGCTTCCCGTGTCTTCGCCCGCTCTGTTATCTCACAGACTCCGCCTCTTTTCCTCAGCGCATCATCTACGCCCAAAGGTCGTCCGCCGCGACACCGACAACATACTCTCCTATTACCAGTCTGAACATGCCGGGCGTGCCTACTTGGCCTCCGATGCTGGTAGTCCTCCATCAATCATGAGAACAGCATCGTCCACCTCAAACTCGTCCGAGTACTCTTCAGAGTCTCCTGATGCCATTGCTGAGAGCCGACCGTATGCGCCAGCCACCGACTCAGGGGTCGCGGGCCACACCAGACGGCCTAGTGTGCCCTCCGAGGGCGGTGCGGACAGACGCCGTGTTGCGATTGTTGAGTTGGATTCAGCCCTCCCTCAATCACTGACTCGCAAAGGGAGCGAAAACAAGAGGCCGCCTACCATCGAGAGCGGCTCTGCATCGCTGGGCTCGACCATTTTGGCTAGACGGGGTCTGCATGTCGAGGGCCTTGCGCTGGTAGCACCTCCCGACGCTTCCCCGAGAACATATACAAATCTGACACCTCCGTCCACTGCGCCTCTCACTGACCGCACTGTGCCCAACGTGCAAGCACAGTCTGCCGCACACCAGCGTTCGATGTCCGAGGCAGTCGTGGCAGCAGACTCCGCAAAGCCGCGGCACCAGCACAAGTCATCGAGGGATGTCGGGATTGTGGGGGTGACGAGGGTGCCATCAGTGTCGAAGCGAGGGGGGCGGGAAGAGGGTACGACGCTGAACGTTCCCACCTTTCAGTCCGCCATCGATCCACGGTCGCCGTCGGCAAGCAGGACCCCTGGCGCCGCCCAAGCGAGCTATGCAACTCAGCCACAGACCGCCGCATCAACCACCCTCCGCTCTCCAAATCCAGATGGTCGCGACCACAAGGTCGTAACGCCTGCAATTGGCGAGTCCAAGGATATCTCTCAGCCAGTTGTTGGCCCCGTAGTCGTAGGCATTTCCTCAAACCTCATGCGACGAGACACCCCTCGCGACGCCTCTCACATAGCAACCTCCAGCGTGTCTAGTCCTGGGGACGTCTTTGCCTCCAGGCAAGCTCCATATGATCACCATTCCCGTTCATCACGCACAGAAACCCCATTTCGGTACTATGATCCCGAGTTGCATGCTACTGCTGGCCCTCTTCCTCCACCGCCCGCATTCGACCCAATCGTCCGTGTTACGTCCGCTACTCCCGCTCCACCGCGTCCTCCTCGAGCATTCGGTCATGTTCCACCCGCCGGCCCTAGACAAGATATACATGCCCTCCGAGATGCGCTACAGCTGCCAAAATCTGTCTCCGCTGCGTTGGCTTCAATGCCACCTCCGATGTCCCCCAAGCGCTCGGTGCCCACTCTTTCTAGAGACTCGTCGCGCACCCGAGAGGAAATACACGACGACGCTGGGTGAGCAGCTTTTTGTGATACCAATGGCCATCTAACGTTATGGCTTGCTAGACCATCGCGATCACTGTCGAAAAAGTCTATGCACGTCAGGGAAGGCGCGCATCCTCCGTCGGCCGTAATCGGCTCCCCTACGCTCGCATCCGACGAGTCTGTCATGCTTCGTGGTCGAGACAAGGATTCACGGACACCTGTGTCCGCTGACGATGGTTCAGCCTCGTTGGCGAGAAGCGCTTCGCCCAACGAGGAGAGCACGTCTAGCGAGACTGGTGGCGTATCATCTCCTCCCACCGACCACTCTCACTCTCTCCATGCGGTAAGGTCGGCAATAGACTTACGACGAGAAAATAGCTGGGTCAGCCTCCGGCAGGAGGAGGTTAGTCGTGAAGTTGCACCTGACCGGGCCTCATATCTCTCCGCGTCAAAATCGCCCGCGTCCTCAGTGTCTGCGCTGTCGCCTACACCGCCTCCAAAAAGCATTCGAGGCTCGCCCACGAATGAGCAACCACTGCCATCAGTGCACCCTTACGCATCAGGTTCGGGCTCGGGTTCTGGATCGAATACGAGCACCAACCCCTTCAGAGGCGCCCTTACGAACCTCAAGCGGTTTTCGGCGTTGCCGCGAACTCCATCTTTCACATCATCTGCTGCGAAGAATCCCTCTCCACCCTCTACGCGACATTCACGAACGCCGTCACCGCAGATTGTAGTCCCCCCACCGCGAAGACCACGTCCACCACGAGAAATATCTTCTTGGCCAGACGCAATGGAATTCAAAGATATTGTTGCCCGCAAGAATCCCCTTGCGCGTTCGATTGGATATGCGGAGCGAATCAACGAGCTGGTCACATATGATTGTGGGTTGGCGGATTGGGTGCAGATGCAGCGGCGACAGGGTATGTAGGGCGTGATTCGCATGTTAGCAAAACGAATTGACAACCCCGTTGTAATTGACAGCGACTTCGAGAGCGCGGTCGAGCGCAGTGAAGCTGACCGTGACACCAGCAACGCCGTCTGGTAAACCGCACGCGCCACAGCCCCGTCACGCGTCTCGCGGGTCGAATGCCTCCGAGCAGACATTCCCCACGCGGCCCGACGCATACAGCGCGACAGATCTGTCGACACGGCCCATCGACGTCATCCCAAATACCCCTCCCCCGTCGCTCCCTTATCCATCGTTGGCCCAGGCGAGAAGCCCGGCGCGCTCATCAACGCTGTTGATGACCTCGTCGCGGTCGCTTTTGCCCCTCTCCGGGAACAAGAACTCCGGGGGTGGTTTCTTCTCGTCCATCGGCAGGAAGACGAGCACGAAGAAGGATCGCTCGCCGGTGTCGCCGTCTCGCGTACTATCCAAGCGCAATGCCACGACGAGCACGACGACCCGCCCCGCTGTGCTGCAGGCCGCCACGGCGCCGACAGTCCCGGGGGGTCCACGCGCGGTGCCCGGACGGATACAGCGCGCGCAGACGTTCTCCGCGTCTGCCAGCCCGTCCCCGAAGGAGCCCTCGCCGCCGCCCCCCGCGCCGAGCGCGCCGCCACCGGGCCGCCAGAGTGCTGCTGGGCGCCGACCGTCCCTCTTTGCCCGCGCGCGAGGGCAGGGCGCCCCGCCGCAGGTGCAGCCACAGGCGCGCACGTCGCACACTGCTCGGCCACCTGGCCCCCCGGATCCCGACTTTGAGCGGCAGGTAGACAAGCTTGCTGATCTGCTGCCGCACGCGGAGAGGGGTGTCCTCGCGGGCTACCTGCGCCGCGCGGGGCAGGACATCCTCGCCATCGGGCAGTATCTCGACGACGAGAAGAACGGTGCGGTGCGGCGCTACTAGGGGTTTTATTCGTCCATCCAGCCATTACTCGTCCATTGTTCGCTCGTTTGTTCGTTCATTTGCCTTATGCTTCTTCATTGCTCTACGGTCGGATTGCGCCAATCCTGAATATTGAATATTGAATACTGAATACTGAATACTGAATACTGGTGCCGCGGACACGAGTTCAAGCAAGCTTGGGAGTATACATTACGGTTGTATCTATACCCTTCTCATTTGTACCATTACATTTCAAGCTGACGTACAGAATACGGATACATACTACAATTATAGCGTCTCTATTCATCGCGTAATGGATCGGAGGCCGGTTCAGCCTGAGGTCAGAGCGGGTCTGAAGCCACCGCCGTTGCGTCTGGGCGTCGGCGGTGCGAAAACTATGCATATTGACAGCTGAAAGCGTTCGGTGTGACACGAGGGTAGGGGGTCTCACCTCGTTGTTGGGGTCTGCCCATGCGGGCTTGGGCAGGCCATGCATTATTATTCGCGGGTCGAGCCGACTGTCGAACATTGGCGGCTCCTATGAGATTTTCCACTTCTCCAACGCTATCCGTCCGGTCGGACTGCGTCGTGTGCGATCTGAAGGACCGCTCGACGCCGGTGTTGAAGGGCTGGCGCTGGGGGTTGTGGCGGGGCTGCGCAGACGCAGGTTGGCGCCATGAGGTTCCGGGCTGCATCGCAGTGCGGTTTACGATTGGGGTACGTTGGATCTGATACGTGCTGTGAAAAGGGATTTGAAGTCGGCTAGGTGTAGACAGATACAGACCCCGTGCGCCTCCATGTCTCCTACAACAGCCCCTACATTCACCGCTCCGCCTACGGTCGCGCCGAACGCCATACCGGATTTCAGCTTATTAGACTGCTCGTTGAAGATGGGTCTTTCTCCATGAGGGTTCTCGTTCCCTGATAACGGAATTGCACCTTCGCCACTGCCGACGAGGTTCGGTGCTAGCAAAGCTTTCCTTTTGATTTTGTCATATTGTGTCTAGTGTCGGATGGGCCAATCATTTGATGGAGACAAGGATCTCTGATGTTTTGACATACCTTGAGTTTCTGGTACTCCTTGTCGCGCTCCTTGAGCGAGTCCTGCAGTCCTGCAGATTTACGGCGCTCTAGTTCCAAGTCCCGCTCCATTTCTGTCAAAAGTATCCTGCAAGAATAATGAATGTAATTTGAGAATGATTTTACCTGCGAATTTGTTATTGAGCAAACTGATTTCTCCGTTCGCTTCAGAGATCAACCGATCAACAGTGCGCTACTCGTAATGGCCTCAGCTTACTCAACCTTCTCTGATTACGTTTTCTAGCTGCTTTTGTAGCTGGGCATTTTTCTCGTTGACATTGCGATAGAGTGCATGTTGGAAGGTACTGTCCAGTAAATTAGGCTGCACAGCGGTCGTAGATTCAATCGAGATAGTCACTGTTCTTGATGAATCTGATACTGCCAAAAAGACATTGCTCTGAAGAGGGTTCACCAATACGAATACAACACTGGTGAGCTACATAGCAGCCTCGCACCTGCTACAAATTTCCAGAACGATGGTTGGGTTCAATCCAGATAGTACTGACTTGAATTACACCATCAACACGCGCAAACGATGCATATATGCGCATCGACGTACAGTTTTATAGTCGTTGGACGGATGCAGCGAACACACCTGTCGTGCATTGAACATCGTGCACACGAAGGTAAATCTCTCGACATACGACAACATCGTCACTGTATATGATTATATCTTTAAATGAGAGTTTCAAAAAGGCTGTGAGCACTCACGGCTCCGTTAATGATGTTTCGCAAGCTGTGTAACGCTGGAACATTATTAACCAAGACATCGGGATTCTTCTTACCTGGACATAGTCTTGAGGCATTGAAGAGTTCATTCGCGCAGTCAACTGTAGGTAGAGTGATAATTGTTTTTAAAAAAGGACGCGCAGCGGCTCTTAAAGGGATAAGCCTCACCACAGAATATATGAGAGCCTAGACAATCCCGAATGGCAACGAGATCAGTCACGGAACGCCTGGAAAATGAGTAACGCACAAGTGGTCTACCAGAATATCTTTCATATTCAAACGGTTTAACAGCCGAAGATAACTTACTACAACCGCCTTCTCCGTCAACGCTCTTCTGCACGTTAGCCTGTTGCATTTGAGATTATCCATTGTATAGCGATTGCTTATTTTAGTCGTCGAGAATGAACACAAGCGAGGCACGAGTTTGAAGTTCGAAAGGATCCGTTCTGAGACCACCACACACGTTCTGGGACCACCACAAGCAGACTCATGGAGCCAAGTCCACCGACGCGTCGCGCCGCGGTCACGTGGAAGACATGCACCACCATCAGCTTGTGGGGACCCGTGGGGCCCCCACAAGCTGATGGTGGTGCATGTCGTACAAATGGCAACAATGTTCATCTTTTCCAACACGACCGGTGGATCTAAACAGAACAGCGTCTCGCAACGATCGCTGTTACACATCATCAAGCACTACATCATGCGTCTGTTTGAATTCGACGTCCACTACGGAGCTCGACGCAGATGAATGACGGGAATGAGTAGGAACAAAGTTGTCATGGGCTTGAACTGCACGGAATAGCTCGTCCCATAGGCACCCTTCCGAATCGAGCAGAACTGGGAGTTCTAATCCATCAACTGGAGGGCTCCAAGCAAAAACCAGCCCATGCGAGCCAGGAACATTGCACGTCATATGATAGCGCTTGAGTAGGATCTCAGCCAGTCGAGTACAACACCAGCAACACTTCTTGTTGACAGCAATGTGACTTTCAGTTGCAGTCTGAAATGATAGTCAAAATCAGTGTTGAGCCATGCTAAATTTAAACCCACTTGCTGGAAAATGCTCGTTCAGTGCAGCAAGATCACCAGTGCGTTCGAGCAGCATCAAGCCTATGAGCGTAGCTTCAGCGTGAATGGTGCCCGAAAATGCATCAGGACATTGTGTCTTTAGGATAGGCACGTAAAGGTCTGCAGTAGGCCAACGACGAACAAATTCATCGATGATGACTTGTTTCGGCTCGATATCCGACTCGCATGCAGGGACCTCACCACACTGACGCGAAGCTGCCCGCGCAAAAGATCGACCGACCGCCGAGAGAAGAGGTGCATTGCCGCTGCGTGCGATGCCACAACCAACTTCAGGTGCCTAAAAACCAATTGTCCCATATTCTCATTGGCAAAGGGCCGCATTTCTTGTGACTCGTCGTCTCCCCCTGACGTTTTTCTTTCACCATCCGCACTAGCGGCTTCAGCTTCGCACCGTCAGCAAGCAGACGGTCGCACGTATGTTCATAACTCACCTTTCTTGCGTCTTATATATTCTTCAAGCGTGTCTCCCAAGGAAGAGTTGACGAGAAGACGCTTTACTATACCCTGCTTCCACAACACATAACCGCACAAATCGTAGCAATGGGCATGTAATGTTCTTTCCAACGCGGCAGTCTCCGCCGTATCCCCCTTTCCACGCGCGACAGACAAGTGTTCAACTGCAACTTCCAGCCGTCGCAAAAGAGCGGCGAGATACCAAGCCCAGGTCTTCAGTGTGACGCTGGAAAACTCCCATTCCAAACCGGTATCAGTTGTGCCACAAGACGGGATGGGGAAGATATCAAATGGAGGTTTGAGAGGAGAATCCAGCAAGAAGGAAGAGGCTTCGACCCATCGAGGTTGTACTGTGTCCATAGTAGACGGTGACCATTGGAGGATAGCATCAGAGAGTCTTGCTTTCCAGATCCTCTGGGGTAAACGAATACGGGATTGCAGTTTGCCATAGGATCGCCGAATGATAAATAGGCAGAGATCGCGAAACTTGTCGTCCGCGTTCGAGGCATAGGGATCAAATGTTTCCAAAGCGGCCCAAACATCCCTGAGATAGTCTTTCAGACTACTTGCACTGTCAGTACTGACAAAGTCGCACGTTTAGCGTACGAGTATATATATATATATCCAGTGGTTTATGACGCACCTCGAGGTCACTTCGTGTTCCAGTGGCGGCAAGTACTTTCTTAGCATCCGCATCGTACTTGCCGCCACAGGTGAGCAGAGTAATGAAATGACGAAGAAAAGGTGGGGCATCATAGGGCGATTTTGTGGCTCGTGTCACAAGCCCAACTCATGTTCTCCAATGTGGTCGAAAGGGTGCGTATACGTCGACCGACAGAAGCAGAATCTTGAGTGAGAGTGGATTGCATGATTGAGCTGAGAGGAACGCAGTAATCTGAATATCTGAAGGTTGGAAACCCCGCCTGGGCTCGTTGATCTACGTGCACGTCATCTCCTCCCTGAGAGAAATCGCACTCTGCACTTGGCTGTGGCGCTTGTTCCTCATGTCACGGTGGAAAAAAAGGAAAAACAACACTGCAGGTTCCGAGGCATAAAACACGCTTACATTCACGCAAGTATCAAGCTGTCCTGGTTGCCTGAAGTGCCTCTCCAAGTTATGCTCATAGATGATTGCAGAGTGTTTGTTCAACACTTGCAAATTGTAGGGGTGATTGAATTCAATCTGTGATTCCAGCCTGCCTACAAGTATGTCACATATATGAATAAGTACCTCCTCTTTTTTCACATGAGACTAGCCTTACCTTTGCTTTGAACCGAATCTCCCCTTCAAGTCATTTGGAACTGGCAACAGTGACAAAGTCCAGTTACCAAACGTCCATTCTAAAGATGTCCCACAGGCAAGGTATTACATCATTCTCTGTGTGTGTATAGTAGAACTGATATACCAAAGTAGAAACGCAATAAATGTTCTCCTAGAATAAATATCGTCTGCGATACAAAGCAATATAACAACACAGCATGTACAACAAAGATCACAAACTTTATAGTTTTCTAAGGTCTCCAAATAGGCTGCCGTGCCGGAGTGCTGAGCATAGCAGTTATGCCGGGTCGTGATACTCTTGATGGTGTTTCAGGGCGTGGGGATTCCCGATCCACTCGCCTGAGAAACTGCAAGGGTGTGAGAGGAGAGCCAGGCGATGAGGCGGTCTTGATAGATTTTGGACTTGTACCATTAGGAGTCGATAAAGCAAAAGAAGGGATATATGGGCTTTTTGGCTCAGGCGTCCTAGGAGGATTCAAAGACAGGCTTTCGGCCGCTTGGGAAAGCGTGGCGGAACTAATCCATTTTTCTTCGCGTGAGCCTAGCCTTGGAGAATCTGGGAGTATCCGAAAAGAGTCAGCAAAATGGTCTTTGATAAATCTGCCGTCAATGAAGTCAGCAATTGCTCGAAGACGTCAACCAGTGAGCTTACTTTGAAAGTTCTGACCAACCTCCTCCAACGCGTACCATGACGGTTTGTGAACGTAGAATACGGCAAAAACATAACTTAGGATCTTGGTCTCCTATCCAATATTTGCCGCTCTGATCCTTCCACGTATCCGCCACATGTTCAACATTGATGTTCACGGGTAACTTATTGACAACATCACCAACTGCGACATCCAACTTGTTCTTCGGATTCGCAATATAAGGCTTCCTCACAGAGGGACCAGGTCTAGTGCGTGGTGGCGATTTAGTGATGGTAGGAAACGACTGTCGTGGCGCACGCGCCCAAGATGAGCGGTTAGTAGACGACTGGGATAAGTTTGAGCGAGAAATAGATATTGAAGAGGCATCCGACAGGGCAGGGGAAGCGGTTCGCGGCGTGTGCAAAGGCGTGTGCAATGCATGACCTGTCTGCGCTCGCGGACGGGATGGAGTGAGATGTGGTTGCCGAAGAGGTGATTTCACGGATGTGGTCGATGATACACTACTGGTCCGCTGGCGGGATGAGAATGTGGAACCATGCAATGTGGTGGAAGAAGACATTGGACCGGAGACAGACCGACCGGAAGAGGCTATAGAAGCTTTGCTAGGTGTCCTAGTATGACCGACAGACGAACCAGAGGCCGAACGCCTAGCGTTCAAAGCGGGAGGCGCAAGGAAACGACCATCTGCAGACCCAACCGAAAGCTTTGAGTAGCCTGCAGCCTTCTTCCTTTTTGCCGAGGCTTGTGAGCTAGACACTGATGCTCTACTACTTCTACCGGAACTCATGACACTACCTGGCCTAGACTTGGCACCATTGACGCGATCCATACCCATGGCCTCTAACTCACTCCATGTTTGCGTGATACGTTCACGTTCGGGCGTGGTCCTCGGATCGTCCGCAACGATATAATAACGCGATGCCATTGTCCCGATGACATTCCTAGTGAATGTCAGGCGCGCGGACAACTGTTCTTCTGGAGTCAGGGACGCGTCGCTGACATGTGGTGCAGCCAAAGCACTAAGAGGTGGTGAGGGATAGCTATCAACGTGCTCTAGAAGGTCGCTAAGAGCATCATCACATTGACGCAGAGAAACGGAGAAATCAGCCAGATTATGAACATTCTGCATGAGTTCAATCGAGGCTTGGAGCTCGCTGCGTAGCGATCGAATCTCCACTTCGATCAGGGGTTTGTCTGGGAAGCTCGAAGGAAGGCTGTCCGCCTCAGAGATAACGGCAGACAAATCTGCTTCCATTCGCTTCCGCACATCATCGCTTGGAAGTGGGAGATCCGATCGAGGAGTAGGTCTCGCAACCTCATTAATGTGAATAGATCGAAGACGCTTTCGCAGTTCCAAGATACGAACTTGAATATCGCTCCCTTGTTGATTCATAGGGTGTCGTATGGACGATGGAGCCAGTCGAAAACCAAACATATCTACCAGGACACTCTGAGCACTTGTTCGTCAATAAACTAGGCACGCACGCACCATCCTCGACTTGAGTTACTCGGGACGATGAGGCCACCGAAATGTCCAGCTCAGTCTCCTCATACACTGCAGATAGGTCTCCTGATCCTGTTCGCAGCCATTCCGCCTCAAGCTTCTCTTCCGCTTTGCGTTTTGCCCTCTTTCTCTCCTCGAGTTCAGTTCTTTGTCTCTCCTCTTCTACCCGTTCACGCTCAGCTGCAGCTCGTGCATCGGCCTCAAGGCGCTGCCGCTCCTCTTTCTCCCGCGCTTCACGTTCGGCAGTTGCTTGTGCATCGGCCTCAGCGCGATCACGATCTTCTTTCTCCCTCGTTTCGAGTTCTGCGCGTTCTTTTGCCTCTAACCGTTCCCTCTCCAATCGCTCCTCTTCGGCCTTTGCACGTAGGTCTTCTTCAGCCTGCTCTCTCGCGACCCTAGCGCGCGCTTCTGCTGCAAGATGCTCTTTTTCTTCCATTAACCGAGCCTCCTTGGCCAGGCGGGCATGCTCAGCTTGCTGTGAATGGCTGATATGCTGCTGAAGAGCAATCACGCCTTCTTTCCAAACGTGATATTGGCTCTCAGCTTGGTCAAAGGCTCGAAGACGAGGTGGTATGATCCCGTCTGGTACAGATTCTGAACCGCTTGCTATCGACCTCAGTCGATGAATGAGACCACGGATCGGAGAAAGAGACCGTGCAATCTCCGTATCATTTGCTTGCAGTAGATGCTGAACATCGTTGGAGAATTTGTCCAGGTCGTCCAATGTGTGCCGTGAATTAGTGTCATTCAGTGAACCTTGAACAAATGCCACAGCCGTGACAACACGACAGATGTTGTCCAGCAGAGAAGCCACTGCATTGTCGACGGCTTTAGCGGTTTTTGCCAATTGGAAGTGATCGGCCTTCTGTTCAAGAGACTTGACTGCTCCCGCTAGCATCATGCAATAAGAATTACAATCAGCGCGTACCACCTGGTCAAGCAGCATAGGATCAACAGGTGCATCGAATGCGATTGCTTCCCGCAAGATTTCCACACTAAAACTACTTGACAATGACCGTTTTCTACCTGAAGTCGTCCCACGTGCCTGAGGTAGATGAGCTTGACCGACAAAAGAGATCCGATGGGCTATGTCTTGTGAAAAGTTTCGAGTCGAATCTTGCAGACGCTTCAAGTCGCCGGACAGGGCCCCTTCAGTCAACAGAAGTTCGTCGCCCGAAAGGGTCCCGGACAAAACATCCTGAACGCCCTTGTCAAAACGAATCTTGAGTTCTTCTGTTTGAACTTGTAGACCGTAAACTTCGTCTCTTATGCTACCCATAGTAGCCGCCTGGCTTTGAACAGCGTCCCATAATTGCGCAAGCTGACGAGTCTGAGCCGTGTAAGTTGACAGCCCATCAGCGCACTCTCCGAGAACAACCTTGAGCCGATCCCCTAAGGAAGGCGATGTTGAAGAGATAGGGAGAAAAATTGTCTGATGCAATCGGGCTTGGATATCATTGAGTTTAGCATCAACCATGATAAGTGATACGGTAAGGGGAGGTAAGGTGATAGATGGACTTTCGGGTGTTGGAGGTGCCTCATATGGACGAATTTGCTGTCGCCACATTTGTCTCTCTGTGGCATCAGCAACCTCGTCACGTATAGATTCCAGCTCGCTGAATAGCCGACTCATCGCTGTCCAGACTTGCCGAATCGTAGTCAGTGTTGAGGCACGAGCGACGGTCGCCTCTCGTACCCGTTTTGCTGTCGATTGCGACTCTGCCAGTCGTTCGATAACCCTAGTACAGTCAATCTTGAACTGCGAATCCACGCCAGGACGATCTAAATGAAGTAGCGCTGCTTGTGCAGTGGGAAGGAGTGCAACTGTTTCTGCATCGACTTTCTCCAGCTCTTGCAGTACCGACGGCAAGGCCGTAAGGAATATAACATGTCGAGCATTGTCGAGACACGCATCCGAGGAAAGATCAGGTGGTGTCCCATCGTCACCTTCTGTTACAACGCCAATCTCGAGTTGCTGAATAATGGAATCAAGTTGGGTAGATAGCTTAGATGCAGTCTTGCAACACTTTTCTACACGCCTCACGGCCTCGAAGGTTGCATGGTACTCCTTAGCGCCAGAATCGGCCTTTCTCATGTAGTCGATAGCAGTAGCTATTTCGAAGGCGAGCAAACGGGCAATGGCATCATTGGAAGTAGACTGGTCTGAAAAGAGAGGATGCTGAGGACGGGGAAATGCACTAGTCGCTGATCCAGGGTTGTCCCGCATCAGCAAGCGTTTACTGAGAGCGTTTGCACGCGACATAAACGCGACGTCTTGTCGCGAGGAGGGATGACTGTATCTGGCTAACTCGATCTCTTCTGCTAGCGTCTGGGTATCAGCTTTATCCTTCATCGTCTCGACATAGATCTCATCGGCCCTGTGACGTCGTCAGAAAAGACAATATGCGAAAGGTTTGAAAGACATGTACTTTTTCCACTGCATGACGACGCTCATAATGAATTTACCGATGTCCTCCAGCTCGTTTATACCCTTGTTCTCTAGTTTATCTTGTTCATCCAGTAGTTCGTCCGGGACAGGTCTTCGACTATGGTCGATAAGCTTGTCTAAAATCTTCCCCGCACTCGAAATTTTGGAATGCCTGAGAGAGGATACACGACTAGCGAACTGGGCGGCGTCCCTCGAAAGCTGTTCAGCAAGCTTGAAACGACTGCTCCTAGAGAACCCGGGAGTGGAAAGGGCAGACGAATCGGAAGCCATGGAAGCGATCGAAACTACTGAGTTGCGTCGTTTGAGCCCAGGCTCAGAGATCTGCTCCTCATCTACGGCAGGAACTCCATCGTAGATCGCTGGTGCCCATCGTGCACGTGTAGTGAGGAACTGTCGGATATCAGCTAAGACGCTGCGTAGCTCAGCCCACGCAGCACATCGTCGTTCCTCCCATGTTAACCGGATGCCCAGAAGATCCAGATTATCTGACCTATCTCTAAGCAGATGTAATAGTTTGTCCAACTCGTAGATCGTCGTCAAAGTCAGTTCGATCAGGTCTGTGTCTTCCGGAGACAGGTTGCGCTGCGTAGCAGCTTCACGGACATGAAGGGCCAAGTTTATATCTCATGTGACGGGTTTCATGCGAGGGAGACTCACCTTTGGTGAATTTCTTCAGCTTCTTGAGCTCCCCAGAGTCAAAAATTTCAGTTTCCTTCTCTATCCTGTCATGTTCTGCGAGCCATGCATCCAATTCCGCACGTGTAGGGAGGTCTGGTACTTCTTCGGCGGACGAGCGTACTGCATCGAGACCGACAAACACCTCAATGGGAGGGAGTCTCTCCAGGAACTATTGCAGAACCCCTGTTCAGCGCACGGCACGTACAGTGTGAAGAGAGCGCAATTACTTTGATCTTCTCTTCAATCCATGCCTTCCGCTCGCTGAACGCCTGCAGCTCGATGACTTCATGCCATTCGAGAGCCTGCTCGTCTTCGCGGGTATGGGATTCCACCGGCGAGCCAGGTGGGGCGGGTTCGTTAACAGCGTGCTCTGAATCGTTATGATGGCGTGCGTCGTTGATATTGAGAGTGCCGCTGATCATTGCCTCCAGAGAAGCAGTAGTACTGGCTGGCTCAGTCATGTTTCTTAACCTTCAATCTCGCTGCGCGGCGGAGGTTCATGAATAGCGTGAGGGTAAAAATGAAGTCAAAACATGCTGCCAGGACCAATCGTGTCGAATTATGAGCGATTGCAACGAGGCATGGCAAAGGTGGTCACGGCGTGGAGACGAGCAGCGACTCAATTCAGGCAGAACAGACGCTGGATACCCGGCCACGGGTACAAAATATGACGGCTCGGCTAAACCTCGTTGCAGTCCGCAAACTCAGATGCGCGTCGATATTCTGAATGAATGATAATTTGCTTCGCAAGCTAGTATGTACGGACATCCACATCAGACTGTCACTGCTCGAACCCCGACAACGCAAAGTACATTTCAAAACGAATTCTGTATGCTATGGAATACAACGAATGCAGAACCTACACCAAGGTAAAGAAGGTGAATGCAGAGCTAAAAATAAGTGTCATTCATGCTGGTGAGAGGAATAGAACAAACATACAACAGTTCATCGAAGCTAGCAAGATAATAAAATAGGTTAAAATCGAGAAGATACATCCACTACAATCTGACAGATGTCGAAAGTCAACCCACTGCGTACAGCATGTTGTGCCGGTTCTCGTCCTCCAGCCACGTTTTTAAGTCGTCATCGTCCTGCATATTGACGAACTCGCTCGTTTCTGGACTGCGTGACTGCAGTGTCTTTATAGGTCGCCCGACTCTCTGACTGGCCTTTTCCAACAATTGGCCGAACGTGGCTTTTGGATGAGCTCGAATAGCATAAATCTCCTCCGCCAACGGATCGTAAATCTTGATCTTGTTGAATGCTACCTGGGGATTGGTGGCGGAGATTGGTGGATTGTAGGTAGCATTAGATTGTGAGCGTGAACGCCCAGATGCAGATGTTCGAGAGGTAGAAACAGAACCCGTCTGGGAGACCCTTGACATATTCTGAGATGAGGCGATGGATGAACGTGAATGGCTGCTCGCATATTGTTCGCTTTGCAGTGTGCTACTAGAAGCTTGAGGTGAGCGGCTGTAGATAGATGTACTGCTCTGCACACGACTATGGCCGTTGTTTCGTGATCGGGGCCGCAGAGGCTGAGTTGTATTGTAGCTCGGTTCGGGAGTAGAGTGTGAGGCACGTTGAGTGTTTGAGGCATGGCTATACGAGTCCTGCTCGTCGACAAGCACTGCCGCACCCTCACCGTAGTCAGATCCATCGCTGGCGTGCCCATTTACGCCTTCCAAAACCTGAGGCTGAGAAAGCCGTTCCGTGGCATGTCCAGGACTCACTTCATCGTGTGCATATGCGTCATGATTTGCATAAGAAGACTGAGATAGGGCTTCGACCTCTGTCGTACACGGCTGAACTTCGACCTCCGCATCGCCAGGTCGAAGAGCGACGAAGTCTCGGACAAGCCTATTCTCCAAAATGTAACGCGCGTATTGTTGCAACTCGCAGAGTTTATGTATATATTCGTCTAGCTCTCCACACCTCGCTTGCATGAGCTCATTGCTGACCTTTTCTGTGGGACCGGGCATATAAGGTAGAATACGTGCCTTGCTGTCCGAACGGCCAGCTTCTGTGGGGAATGCGTCGAGAAGGGCAATCTGAAAGTCGTAGAAGTCATTGTAAGATCTGAAAAGCACCAGTGACTTGGCTGGAGGCAGCGAAGACGAAGGGGATGGATTGTATGGCTGATACAATGCGTGAACGCGAAACCAGTATTCGTCCGTCTCGAAATGGAACGAAGTGACATCAGCGGACAAGAGAATGCCGTCCTGCAATTGCTTGGGGGAAGGGGGATGTGAGACATATCCTGTCGTCGAGTCTGCATACTGCGGTTGAGGAGAAGAGGTGAGAGCTGCGTCTTCCACAACGGGAGGAACGTCCGCTTTTGTCGCTGTCGATGGAGACCTAGCGATATTGGCAGCCAGAGAATCCTCCAAGACGCCAAGCGCGATGCTATTCGCTTTGTAGCTCATCACGGCACGCTTCCACTCCTCCACTCTAGGTAGTGCACCGCTTTCGATAAGTCCCATTATATCCGCGATGGGTTGATTTGTTACTGGATCGTGAACCTCGACGAATGTGACTGGGATGAGACCAGGCCTCCCAAGGCGAGAGATAGGCTTAGCGACAAACCATTCCTTGTTGGACTGGGCAACAACGGTTATATAATCCCCGGCTTTGGCTTCTAATTCGTCCATACGCTCTGCGACGAAGTCATGGAGGACAACAGCATAGTAGGCTGGAAGTTTGGATGCTGCAGACAGCGGCCTGTGACTTATCGCAGGAGACATGCGGGGTCTACAAAAGAATTGGGTATCGAACTCCATTCCGCTAGGACAAAAGAATGACAAGACTCACGTAGATGTTCCCTTCTGAAATTCTTCGAACATATGGCACGGGACGAGACCGCGAGCACCGGTAATCGGATTGTGGGCCTCATACCAGTCACCATTGCTGCGGCCATCACTCAAGACGTGGAAAAAATCCCCCTTCTCGAATGAGAGTTCTTGAGGTGCATTTGCTTTATACGAATGCAATGCCTTGATAACTCGCTTCGGCGGCAAAATAGCACTGGTGGGCTTCGAGAGAGACGGCAGCGGTGTAGAAATGTGCGACGAGCTGTCTTTATGAGCATTCAGGGATTTCCGCAGCGATTTCATCATTGGGAAACACAGAAGTGCGAAGGGGCGTGACGGGGCGTAAAGGAAGAGAGAAGTGAAAAACGAGGATCGCGTGTATGGCGGTATTATCTACGAGACATAAGAGGCATTGGTTGGATTTCCCACATGTTTGGTGGCTAAGACACATCCTAAATAGGCAGGAATTCACGCGCGTTGACGCAATGATTTGGATCTAACCCGCCGGATCGGAAAACAGAACAATAAAAAATGCCGCTTGACTAACTTGTCCTTGCTGCGTGCACTGCTCATAAGACAGCTATCTGGATCGCCGCACAAAGCCCGTTGACGCAATTTACTAATACACTTAATCTACCAGAAAAAACGACGTTGCACGCTGGCAGCAAGCCCACGCCACCATGAAACCATCTACTATAGTGACTGCCGCGAATTGCCGCATCTCCAGGCTTGTCTCATCGGGACTGGGCAATTGAGTCCATGCACTGGTTGATTGGAAAGCACCACAGCTATTGCAGTCCCATTGACACTGGCAGCACCGTTCCGTGCATGTCCCGGATGGGCCATAGTTCTATAACACTTTTGACATGTTGTGGAGCTGCAAGTGCTCCTATTACCATTCCACTTGGTTGCGCTGTCCTGAGCGAGACCCAAGCGACCAGAGTGACCAAACCGAGTGGGCCAGTTCTGCCGCTGTGACGGCCGCGGACCCAGGATATGGTGGCATAAGCTGTTGTGCACGAGATTACGGGAGTATTGATCTCTGACAACCGTGACAGTCATCTTTTGAAACACTGTACCAGGTAACGTCGGTTTGAAGTCGCATCTCAATTGCACCTTGACCGCATCGCGACTGAAATGTTGCCAGTGCCCAAGGGCCACAAACAATGACTCGGATGTTCGATCGCGTTCGTCACTTTTCGTAGTCACGTGCGCGTGAGTGTGACCATTAGGACGGTCACAAATTCCCTTCGCCGCATCAGACTCCAGAGCGTTGCATTCTGTCCTAGCTTATTCCCCTGTGTGATCTCATTCACCGTCGCTGCTCACCATGGCGGCCAGAAAGCTGCAAAGTAAGCACTGTGTCGTGGCCTTGTTGTCCCAATCCGGTGGGTCTAACTCAGGGATGGCCATATACAGCCGAAATTGACCGCACGCTCAAGAAGGTCTCGGAGGGTGTCGAGCTCTTCGAGAGCATATACGACAAGATGCAAGCATCTACCAACCAGACACAGAAGGAGAAGCTTGAGACCGACCTGAAGACGCAGATCAAGAAGCTGCAGCGTCTTCGAGACCAAATCAAGACCTGGGTGGCGAGTAATGATATTAAAGACAAGACTGCCCTTCTCGAGAACCGAAGATTGATTGAGACGGTGAGTACTACTATATGTGCGTTTGCTTCCGCATGTCCTGCCATATTCTACCAGGATCGCACGTGTGGGAAGCGTCGTGTGTGGACCATGAGGTGATGCTGACTGTTTACTTTGTTGCCATACGCCATCGTGCCCTGTACATCGAAATCATGTCTTCTAGCAAATGGAGAAGTTTAAAGCATGCGAGAAAGAGATGAAGACAAAGGCTTTCTCCAAAGAAGGTCTTATTCAGTCTGCCAAGCTCGATCCCAAAGCCCAGGAGAAACTTGAAATTACACAATGGGTACAGAATCAGGTCGAAGATTTGCTACTGCAAGTTGAACAGGCGGAAGCGGAGGTTGAGACGCTGCAAGGTGGTGGAAAGAAAAAGAGCAAGGCGGGGGCGGCAGCAGAACGACTGGAAGCGCTTGAACATTTGAACGAGCGCCGGAAATGGCATATCAGTCGGCTGGAAATCATCTTACGGCTGTTGGACAATGGCTCAATGGCAACAGAAAGGGTGACTGGTTTGAAAGATGATGTCCAGTACTTTGTGGAAAGCAACACGGTTCGTTCTGTCGTGATTCTCATGCTACTGGAACGCTTCTGGACACCCTGGAGTAGGACGAAGACTTCGACGAGGATGAAGGTATATACGATGAACTGAATCTCGACGAAGAGGAAGAAAAATTCGGTTTGGCAAACGACGATGATAGCGACGAATCAGACGATGCGAGTGAAGGTATGTGTATCTGTGTGACTTGATGGGGGCCATTCTCACTTCTTGGGGAGCTCTTTCAGATCTCCCACCACGAACACCGTCAAAGAAACACGATGAAGAGAGTGTTGCGAGCAGTCACAAACGAGATGGAAGTCCTGTGATGAAGAAACCTGGTGTCCCACTACAATTGCGCAGTAAGCACGTCCCCCATGGTTGTTTCTACACGTTAACTAACGACGTATAGAGCCTTCAATAGTTGGCGATAGTACGGTTTTTTTCGTCTTCTCGTGGTACATATATTGTTCTAAGCTCTTCGTCAGCACCGAAACCACCACCAAATCCAAATTTTGTACAGCAACCCATGTCGAGCATACTGAAAGCAGGATTATCTACACAGCCACGACAGCCAGTACTTCCCGTACGGTATGCTGTTGCCGCAGCCGCCGGAGTCGCACCATCACCAACGACACAACAATCCGCGTCACAGCCACCGCAGACACCCTCAGCCGCCTCGTCAAGTCAACCTACAGCGCCTACGGCGCCATCAATATCAACGACGATAGCAACACCATCGTTGGCTCCAGATCAAATTTCTGCCATAACATCTTCACCAAGTCTGACACACCCTTCAGTCACGAGCCCCATGCTTTCTTCGGCCTCGGTTTCTGCACAACAGGCGGATAGCTACTCTGTGCGTGATTCACCAGCACTATCAGAAGCAATACCTGCGGCAACATCGTCACCACAACGTGTGCTGCGGAAAGGTACAGTAGTTGCAATATTTCCGCATGTACATATCTGAGATTTCGTAGCTTCCATATCATCGCCGACAGCTCTGCAAGCGCTGAGTATGACGGTACGTTCTATACTCCTTTGTCTTGAATATAGTTCAATTTTTGTGCAGCAAACAGCTGCCATGGACCTGCAACAGCCACCACATCCAAATGGGAACGGCGCAGCTGTTCTAGCACAGCACCAACAAACAACGATGTCAGGGCTCTCACCTTTGCCTCAACAAGCGCAGGCATTCGCGAGCACTTCGGCCGCGATCACGCCCAACGCCACGTCGAGTGGCTCATCGCCATTGCCACCACTATCGCAGCAGCAAGCCCAACAACAGATGCCGCAATACCCTCCGGGTGTCAAGGTTCATACAGCGGCTACAACCGAGCAGCAACACGCACTTCCACTGGGAGAGGCGCCGCAACAAAGTGCAAGTGTACAAAGACCGACATCGACGGCGCCTTCGCAGATGCCACCACAGACGCAGCAACAACAGCCCAGGCCAAACGCTTTCCCCGGCTCGTTGTCGGATCTGGTGGTGTCGTTCGAAAATGTGAAACAAAAGGGTGCGTGTCTGCCATGATGCGATAAAGGAAGCCAATGCCTTATATTACATTGCAGCCCCGCATCGTATGTCGAACCTCGACCAGGTACACAAAGTGTTGCAGGGAAGCTATTCGAGTATGCCTCAACCACAGGATACAGAGAAGTGAGTGGTGAATGGTATCGGAGGAGCATCGCTGACATTATCGGCAGGCCCAAGTACTACGTGCCGCGCAACCCCATTCAAACGCCGTCGTATTATCCGCAGTCACCAAATCCAGTGCTCAATACGGCGGGAATCTTCTCGCAGCTAGATGTCGAGACACTGTTCTATGTATTCTACTTCCTGCCAGGCACGTATCAGCAGTGAGTACATTATTGTTTTCAAAGGACTAGGGTGCTCAGTGGCACCATGTAGATACCTTGCAGCGAAGGAATTGAAGAGGCAGTCGTGGCGATTCCATGTCAAGTATCTGACATGGTTCCAGCGCCACTCAGAGCCCCAGGCGATCACGGAAGAGTATGAGCAAGGAGTATACGTCTACTTCGATTGGGAAGGCTCATGGTGTCAACGCAAGAAGAGTGATTTCCGTTTCGAATACCGGTATCTGTCGGAAGATTGAGGTGCCAGTTCTCTTTCTCGCATAGCGCGTCCTATCGTTCTCGCTCCTCGTTTCCTTGTTTCTGAATATCTACGAGCACTCTCCTTGTCCGCGCCATCGAGCATCTGTGTACTACTTATGTTGACCAACAAAGGACAATGAACTTATTTTGTGAACAACACACGAGTCGAAAGCATCACTTGGAGACATGGATATTAGTGAGGTAGTAAATATGCCATCTATGTTTACTCGAGCTTGACAACGGCACCGAGGTCCATGAAGGTCTTTTGCAACTTTCCGGCATCTTCCTTCGACAAGTTCTCTTTGAGTGTTTGTGGTAGCGACTCCACGAACTTCTTTGCCTAGAGACAGAGCATCTTGAGCACTAATGCGAATGATATGTAGATGAATACAACATACCTCGATAAGCGTCAAGTTTGGCACCATGGCCTTCACTTCCCGAATGATTTTGGGTTTTGCTGCGGCGTCGAATGACTCGAGCTTGACTGTGAAGATGGTCTTCTCCTTAGGCTTCTCCTAAGGTTGCATGACAGTCAAGTGTCACCATGATACAAAGCAAAATATTTCACCGGCCACGAACCTCAACGGCTTCCTCCGCTGCACCGTCAGCATTTGCCACGGGCGCTGGCGCAGCGGCGGGCATCGCAATCTCTTGAATGTTCAATCGCGACTATTGTAGTGGTGAGTCGAAAGCTTCCAGTACACATACGATCCTCCGCCTCACCTTCAAGAGCGTCACTAAATCCGCCGCCTGCAGCAGGGTCAGCCCAGAAATGTCGTCAACGATCTTGTTCAGTTTGGGATCAGCAGCGACAGAGGGTGAAGGTGGTGGCGGGGATGGAGACGCAGCGGGAGCCTCTGCGGCGGCGGTAGCAAGGCATCTTGACGAGCTAGCGAGAGCGTTCGAACTATGTGACACGCTCGTCAGGACTGAGCAGGGTGGTGCTGGTAGCTCACATACCGCGCTACATAGCGTGTTCTGGAGAGTGCGCGCAGAGCAGCAGTGCATCGAGTCTAGGGGAATGCTTAGACACGAACGCGCAAGGAATACTGGGACACTAACCGCCATGCTGTATACAAGTAGACCGCTGGAAACAATGAGTACAATTTCCGACTTCTCTCGTTGTCCTTTGCGCACGTGATTGCCACATGGCACTGACCCGAATCTTTCGGACTCCGGAGACGAGCTGCAGCTCTTTAGAATTTGAGCCTGTGCAACGGCCCGTGTGACTCTCATGCGTCCGTGGAAATATGTACACAGGGTCTGAGCGTGTTTTTTTCCCCCTGCAAATGCGAAGATATTTACCAAAACGACATAAATGAGAATTTCCAGCCGTCAGACTCGGAACGCCTTCACGCGACCGCTGGCTTGCCAAGGACACAAGCGAGTCCCTTGTGCCCTATAGACACGAGGGGATTGTCCGAGTCAACTCTGCCAAATCATCATCATCATTAACACCTGTATCCTCGTCCTCCACCTCAATCACCTCCACCGGGAAGCCGTCGGAAGACTCCTCGCTTTCTACAATTGGGGACCGCTCGCGTTTTGAGCCCCGTTTTGTGGTCTCCCGTTCCTGCTTGGGTTTTACAGCCGATCGATCCATTTTGTTTCAATGCCTTGGGCTTTTGCTTCCTTTGCATTGGTGGTATGAGGCGGTGCGCGTTGTCAGCTTGTATACGCTGAAATTCGACATCATAGCCAGCGCATTTCATACACCAAATATCAATAATCTGCATTCACTGGCAATAATCGTTACCCCGTGAACAAGATTTACAATGTACCTCTTGACTACATTCATATGCTGCGCTGATTTCTGTCAAGTCCGTTTGGCATCCCGGATAGCTTTTAGGCGTGCCTCGTCATCGCAAAGCTCCTCCACTTCTTCTAGTGTAGGTCCACGCTTCAGCTCCCGTCGTAGGTATACTCTTGCACAAATTTGGGTGCCCCAATTGTGAATCGACATATGTTGGGACCAGGTTCGACGCACTGACGTGAAGTAAGAGATCTGGACAGGTATATCAAAACGTACATACCCGAGCAGATTGATCAGAAAAATCTTTTGTAGTTAACGATTTAGACGGATATATCTTGTGTTCACCCACAGTGTAACCCCAGAGTGCAGGGCTGTTTGACTCGGACGAAAACTCGCATGATACCGTTCGTCCTACTGTTAGCGGCATGGCTAGAGAAATACAGTATAGGATCATCAAGAGTCAGCGGAGCATGCGGGTTGAAGTCATAGACAATGCACATTAGAGTATAGGGTGGTGATTGAAAAGGGCAGTCCGTAGTTTCTCATCGATAGCAATGGGGTAGGACTCAAGCTCAAGTCCGACGGCTTGGAGACCATCAGTCACAAACTCATAATGAATTGCAAATCTTTCTTAGTTTCGACGATAGGCTGCACCATAGAATCATGCATGAGGTTACAGGAAAATTTTGCAAAAACGGGGCACACTCACATTCTTCCATTTATTTGTAAGTGCTCGAGCATCACCGTCCGTTGATTGAATAGCTGTGGGCGGAGCCATGTCAAGTGCATCTTCAACTGGTTCGTCCTTCACCTTCTTTTGCTCTGGAAAGAAGATCGGATGGGTCAACTAATAACACTGCCAGTGACTCTTCTTCACGAATTGGTAAGAATACGTACCCGCACCCTTCTGATCGAGGTATACGATGGCCTTCTTTTCATCGACTAGCGCGTACACACACAGACCCGAAAGTCTGTCCACCATCAAATGTATCGGGAGCTATACGAATGTTCTCTTTCTCATCTGGTTTCTTTTGATCATGGACTACATTTGTGTCCATAACGGCGAGTGTATATTGCAAGTCAAGTCCGAATGAAGACGGACTAGATGGACCGAAACATGACTAGAATAGTTGGTGTCCGCCAGCGGGTGGCGCGACTAGTGGCTACGGAACTTGCCATGTTCGGCTAATAAATGGCCGTATTTAGCAGCCGTACAGCATGCATCTAATCAGAATGCATTTGAGATATGAATTTGTGTATGCGCTTGTTCGTCATGGTTATCTCAACAGTACTCTAGTTGCACAATCGAAGGCAATCCCTGGTCGGTGTGGATACTCGTACCAATCATTTCAGATCGCACTGGGAACTGAGAATCAACTGGACATCAAATATACTTACCTTTAGACCGCGCGATATCATTGCTTCATGGCCGGCATCGCGGAGAATCATGGCTTCCTCACGCGCTAACACCAAAAAAGATAAGGATAATCCGATTAGAGACATTATGAGCACGTTGATCTGGGGGCCCTAGTCCACCAAGGATCTGCAGCAAATTTAGGCTTAGCTAGCGCCAGGATCAGCACATTGGGAATGCAGCTTCATGTATGATTGGCTACTTAATCATACTAGTCTACAGATCAGAGGGATGAGACGGAGATTGCCACCAAGCTATGCGAGACGGACCACTTGTACACTTCTGAACATTCGAACAGCTCTCCTCAGAGCTTCGCGTTACCTACGCAACAATCGAAGGAGGGTAATCGCATCTCGAGAATAAATATCGTGATCTGGGTCATCTGCAACCTAAGGCCGGGCCGACGAAATGGCTCATAAGAGTGCAGGCAAATGCAAAAAAAGGCGCGTACCTCTAACCATGTAAATTCCTTCTTGAGTAGCGTAAAAAATCGCTTATCAGCCTGTGTTTTCATAATGGTCAGTGCGAGGGGGTGATAGATGGACGGTCTAGTCTGACCTTACGCCGTTTCTTGTAGCAAAACAGCACCTCTGCATGCGATCCACGAATTGGGACGAGGTCTGCCAATGTCCGTACGAGAAGAGGGAATGCAGGCTCGAAATAGACGCAATCCGCTAGTAGTATGAGATCCAGTCGCGAGGCGACTGAGATTATGTCTCGGGGGATGGGGTCACCCCTATCCTACGAACAGAGTTAGTCAATCATCATTCCAGATTATACTGATAAGAGAATATCAAGGGGTGGGGATGCTGACCAGTTGAGCTCCGCGACATGCACAGAAGGATCAAGGTCATTCATAGACACATTACGCGACATAATGTCGAGAAGCTGTCTAGAGAATGCTATCAGCATGGCGGGACGCAGTCAAAATGAGAATGGTTGACAATGAAGTGATTACAAGATAGATGATGAAGTCAAAAGTGACATTCACGCACTCTTGGTCGGTGATCCACACGCTCGCACCCAGTATTCCCGCGACCAGTCCAACAAGCCCCGTCCCACTACCAAGTTCAAGGACAGTTTTGCCTTGAAGAGAGCCCCTTCGCGCAATATACTGCGAAAGGACCTGGCGAGAGCAAGGATATCGCGTTTCTTATGTGAGTACGGTAGCGCACATAGATGGCTGGTAAGAAACATACCTCACCTGCCGGCCAAGCGATCCCCCCACATCCGGGCGACGCGTCCACAGCAAGTTTGATCACAACATGCTCTGTCGAGTCTGCACAGTGGACATCGGCACTAGTAGTGGTAGCAAATGAGAGCTCGATGGTTTGGTTGATGATAGATGGGGGTTGGGCGGGGACAATGTCAGAAATATCGGGGCCGATGTCGTCCGCAGCGCGCAGGTGCCTAAGGGGGTCAGCCTCGTCGAGTTCTTCCTCAAGAACGAGGTCCATCGCGGCGACGGACTGATGCCGAGGAGACCGAATGGTCGACATCGGCAGGAGGGAGCAGGCGAGCGCGTAGAAAGAAGGGAAGAGCCTGGACTACTCGTGCACAGAAGCTCAATGCACGCGGCCTCAAGCGCCATCAGTCTCCTCGCTTCTCCTCCTATATAACCCTCCCGTCCGCATTCCTCCCACTCCCCCGCCATCGTCCTTTGCCTCCCCGTCAACGCCATCAACGGTGAGCAGCCACTCTTCCTCTTGTGACCGGCAGCGCGCTTAACGGATCCGCTCTCATGCAGTGACATCGGCGTAATCCGACTGTCGGCTATCAGTCAGCCCATTTCATTAGACCTACTTAATTCTTCGCGCCCCCGCGGCCTCGCACGGGGTTGAGGACCTCTTGAACGACATTTCAAGTTTAGGAACTTAACGGCGCCATGACAGATCTACATGAAGTCCAGTTCAGATGGTGAGTTGAATACTCGGGCTTCCCAACGCGAAGTTTACACCTAGTCTCCGCAAGGCCTCACTCAAACGCCTCCCACGTTGTTGTGACGGGAGCCTTCGACGGCGTACGTACCACTCCACTCGCAGCTTTTGGGCACTGTCTAACGTATCTGCGTCGCAGTGGTCAGGCTCGGTTTATCTCGCGAAGACGTCATCCGGCTTCGAGGGCACAGCACGCGTGCCCTGGGGGCAAAAAATTGCCTACAAGTTCATCGTCGATGGCCGCTGGACCACAGCCGACGGTCAGCCTACTGAGTTTGACAGCAATGGCAACTTGAACAATATCTATACTTCGCCTAATTGTCCATCCCAGGAGGAGACGAAGGTAGAGGCTAGCACGATTCGGGGGGCAGTAGCCGCGGCTGGTACTGCGGCAGGGGGTGCTGCTGTTGCAATGGTTGGAGCGATCGCGCCTGAGACGACATCACAAGCACCGCAAGCGCCTACACAATCTCCAGAAGAGACTTCTTTGCCAGTCGTTGCTCCAGCTCCCCCCGATCCATCATCAGCTGAGGCTGATCCGGCTGCGACACCCAAGCCAGAAGCGAAGAGCGAGCCGAGCCCACCAGAACTCGAGCCTGTGACACTTTCTGAAGAGGCAGTACTCCCTCCAGAGGAGGTCGCCGCGCCCCATCTCGCCCCGAACGTGCCTATCCACGTTCTCCCACTTCTGCCGGAGGTACCCGTTGTTGCCCCCGGTGTCACCAACACCCGACAAGGTGTTGCCCAACAAGAAAATAGCGATGTAATTAGCGAGCCGTCTACGCATGTGCCTGCAGGTATGAACGGCATAGGGGGGAGAGCGTCAAGCCCTGCCACTGTTTCGAAGCCTAGTGAGACGGAGACGAGCGTCGTTGGGACGACGGCGGCGTCAGAGGAGGAGCCTGTCGAGTCTGTGGTGCTAGACCCGGTTGTCGTCTCGAACAGTGCGGTCGATGCTGCTCCTGCAAACGGCTCGCCAGCTGAACTGCCTTCGACATCCGACACTGCCGCTGCTCCCATCCCAGAAAAGCCTATCGCAAACGGTTCGTCTGCGCCTGTGACGACCGCGTCTGCGTCTGCGCCCGAAACTCCTGCTGTGAACGGCTCGAGTGCGCACACGAACGGCACCACGTCCAAGGCGACCCTGCCCAGTACACCACCAGCCAAGGAGAAGCGGATGCGCTTCCCGTCCCTTTCTGTGCGCTCGCGGCGCTCAAGCAGTAGCGTGCACACATCCACTACCGAGTTCGGCGCAGATCCAGGAAAGGAGGGCACGAAGTCGGAAACGTTAGGTGGGACGCATCGCAAGAAGCGGAGTAGCATCTTCGGAAAGCTGAAGGGCATCTTCGACTCTCCAAGCAAGCTGGGCAAGTAGGCTCCCCCCGTCGATGCTATCTTTTATGGTCTAGTGTGTATCTGCCGCCCATTCCTAGCTGGAAGGTTCTGACGACTTTTCACGTCATGCTCATGTCTATGATTTTACGTTCATCTCCTTGTGCCTCAGCTCTTCCCATCTACGTAGCTAGCTGCCCACCCCATAGATTTCATTCCTTTTCTTATACAGTATGCCTCGGTAGTGCTGCTAGTCCGTTTCGGATCCTTCTACCCTTAATATATGCACGTCTTTGGCGACATGCTGCAGATTCAGAAACTCGAACATTAATCGGGGACTATAATATGTACACGTGCGAAGTTGGTTCTGACAGGAGCGCAATTGAAGAGCAGTAGACCATGAATCATAACGACAGCAATGGCGGCTACCCTGTGCAAGAGACAATATGCATGATTCAAGCCGGTCCTCTTTGAATAAAACTAGAATTGGCTCCAATTGACATCACCTCCCGCCTTTCTTCTCGACCTTCCACTCCTTAAAAATCCCATCGAGACTTTTGTAGAGCAAGTGCGACGGTAACGAACGGATGATCTCACCCACGCGTTCCTCAACTTCGTTTTTGCCACTCTCGGGCGAAGCCTTCTTGGCGTATTCAACCGCAAGTCGGAATATCGCGAGAACTGCAAGGGAGACGTGCGTCTGCTGTGCGCCATGCGCCGCACCGGGGGACAATGCAGCTAACAGAGGTCCAGCAATGTTGGGTGCAGCGAGGGCAGACGTCGACTGCGGATAGACTGTACTCGAACGCTCGCCTCGCACGAGGCGGAGAAGAATCTCGAGTATGTTGTCGGTCTCCGTCATGTGCGTGCGCAAGAATCGCTGACGTTCGGTGGATTGACCGATGTTGGAGTTCTGCGCCCACGACTCCAGAATGGTCCAGATTGTAGGTGCCTAACGGACCGTTAGTCAAAGCACAATAAATCGAAGTAGGGCAACGCACAGGGTCAGGGTCTGCGACCTCGATCTTTTTCTCCCAGCCGTCCGCGGCATCGCCAGCAACCCAGAACATACGCCCGAACATGCTCTTCAGCCATTCGTGAACATCGCCGCTCTTGACCCATCGAGGTTCCGACAAAGGACGCTCTTTGTCTAAATGCGCAATGAGCGTAATTGTGGAGGGAATACCAGATTTCGAGAAAACAGGGATGGTCGGATCGCTTTCGAGATGTTCGGAAATTTCCAGCGGGAGATATGAGGCAGTAGCCTCGGAATATGCTTCCATCTTGGGGGGATGAAAATGAGAATTGTAATACATTAGAGAAGGTCAAACTCACTAGAATTCCCTTATACCCGCTGAGCTCGTCCTTGTCGATGGTCAAGCACACCTCGATGCGACCATCAGCTCTGATAACCTTCAACTTTTCAACGATTTCAGCATCGATCACCATTCTCCGAGTGCCTGCAGCATAGGAAACGGAGAGGCGGTTGGCTGATGCGATCCTGCCGGACTTCCCAGCTACTTGTGAGGGCAGCTGTGATGTGGAAGGTTCGCTATAAGCTGTTGAGCTTGTCAATGTGGTGGATGCCACTGCAAGAGAGACGGGGGACACAGATGTCTCTTGAGCTTCTTCGACAGGTTGTGTAGCCTCCCTGTGTGCTCTGTCGCCTTGAGATCCCGAAACATCGTCGTCGACTACAGTGGATGTGAACGATGCATGGTCGGCGTTCTGAATGTTTGTATCGGGAACGGTGGACGCGATGGAATCCATAGGCCGCAACGGTGCCGGAGCAGTGCGCTTGACTTCTTCGGAGAGTGCCTGAGCGTCATCACGGTGTGAATCGTTAGCAGACTCGATGGCAGGAGAGATGGATGACGGGACAGCCACATCCACAGAAGAGGAAATATCAGGAGAAGTAGACGATCCAGAGGGGACGGAATTGTTGGCATCCTGATTCTCGGAGCCAACTGCCTGCCCAGGTATTCCAGTGGAACCTGTTTCGAGACTAGTCTGCTGATCAGAAGGAATGCCCATTGACACATCGGAGACGGCAGTCAGCGAGGGGTTCTCTGGGCCGTTTACGCCGTTAGAGATATGTGAATCCACGAACATACTGCCCTGTTCAGCAGCCGGCGCATTCACATCATGGTGCTCATCAATGGAGCCCTGAGCATCCTCATCGCCACCCATCATATAAGAGTCGTCGTGACCCTCCCCTTGCATGCCATCAAAACCAGTGCCTTCTTTAGAGAAAATGGAAATTAGCGGTGCGAACGGCGGTCGTTCGAACGAGCTGCGTGTCCACGCTGCGCACAGTCTCGATCGTAAGTAGAATGCTTACCATATTCGCCTTCTGCATCTGCATCGGATTCATGGTACGGCTCGTGCTCGTGCTCGTGCTCGTGCACATGGCCATCCCCTTCCTCCTCATCCTGCATTTCGTCTCCTCCAATGGCAGCCATGAGCCAATCACCCTCGCTGGCCGTCTCTGCCACACTCGGAGCGACACTTTCGCGTCCGACAGCAGTATCTGCACCATCATAATCCATGCTCGCAGAAACACTGGCACCATCATGATCTGGGGCTATCCCAGATGAATGCGGAGGAGGTGGGGGCGGGCCGCGCCCATCTTCCGTATCACCATCGTCATCCTCGAGCTTTTTACGTTTCCCTTTCCTAATGTTAGAAGCAGAAGACGGACCCAGAGAAGAATACGGCGATTGCGCAGGAATCGGGCGCGAATCGTCAGCAGTAACAGGGGTGTGGAAATAGATACGAATGCGCGAGGGAGGAGGTGGCAGTAAAGCGGTGGACTCCACTTTCACTGGAACGCTCTCACCGATGGCGTCGCCTGAAGCTGGCACGGCATTTGTTAACAAAACATCACCGGTTGGCTCTGCCTTGACAGCCGTCGGTTCCTGCTCAATATGAGTGTCAGCAGGAACCTCGGATGGAGTAGCACTCTCTATTTTTTCCACCTTCATAGATGGTTCGACAACCTCAGATTTCGAGACACCCCAGCTCCATGCCAGCTCGGGAATATCGAGTCCAATGATCTTGAAATCAGTCAGCGTTCGCCGGTTCTCGTCTTTCTTACCACTCGAGAACCCTGCGGAAACCGCATTACTGCTTTCCCTACCGCCATGGAGCGGACCAGAATCATGTCGACCTCCGCGCGAGGACGACGCGAACCCCTGATTACGGCCTCGGAACGAACTGCTGTTTGAATAGCTCTGATGCTGGTGATGATGCTGCTGCTGGTGTTGGTGCTGCTGGTGTTGGTAGCCATGCGAATAGCCCTGATTTCCTCCTGCGGTGAATGACCCACCTCGCCGGTTGTCTCGGTTCCCAAATCCACGGTTCGATCCGTGTCCTCGGAAGCTCCCGCTGTTTTGACCCATCCCTCCTCCCCGACCACCCATGTTGTTGTACGTCCCCCCTCTCCCTCGATTCCCGCCCCGGTTCATTCCCATCGGCGTTCCCCGTCCTCTGCCGCCCATGTTGTTACCGCCTCGTCCACTCATGAAGCCTCCTCTTCCACCATTCATCGACATCTGATTCATCCCCGGTCCTCCACCTCGCCCGTGCTGACCCTGACCCTGCCCTTGCCCTTGCCCTTGACCAAACATGCCCATCCCACCCTGCTGCATAGGCGGCGGGGCCGGAGGCGGCTGAAATTGAGGTTGAGGCGGAGGTCCACGATGCTGGCTGGGCCCATCGAATCGCTGTCTCTTTGCAGGCGGCAATTGTTGAGGAGGCGTGTGGAGGATGTTCGGGTTCCGATTGTTTGGCCGCTGCTGCTGTTGCTGCTGCTGTTGCTGTGGGTGGAAAAACGCCTGCTGCGGCTGCTGTTGAAAAGTTTGAGGTGCAATTTGCGGCTGGTATGGCGTTTGAGGAACCTGTTGAGGTGTAGGCCCACTCTGCGGGATGTAAGGCTGTTGATATGCCCCCGCTTGAGGCTGGTAAGGGTTATAGGCTGGCTGAGGTGGTGGCGGTGGCGGTTGTACTACGGGAGGAGGAGGCTGAAAATGCTGTTGAGGTTGCCTTTGCTGATGTTGTTGCCAAGAAAGGTTTTGTTGTCCTCCATAGCCGTAGTTAGCATAGAGGGCAGACTGCTCAGCAGTGGGCCGAGGAGCCGCAGGTTGCGCAGTTTGGGTAGCAGGCCATTGAGGGTTGTACGCACCAACAGCAGGTGTCTGCACCGCAGAAGCTGCAGCAGCCCAATAGGCAGAATAATCTGGCTGTGTTGGCTGAGGAGGAGGAGGGCCTGGTGGGAGAGGCGGCTGTTGTGGAGTGTAGGCAGCGGTCGTTACGAAGGGATTTTTGTTCATGGCCGACAAGTCTATGCAGTTACGAAGGATATAGGGTACAGGGAGTCGTCGCTGAGAGAGAGAATATATTGCCGTCGACCAGGCTGGTCGCGACGAAGGGCAAGACCGTCATCGTCGCCTCACCGTCGGGTGGCTAGTCACTGTCACAATGTCACGCTCATCCACCATGAAAGACACGAGAATTCAGCTGTAAAATAAAACAAAACAAGTGAAATTGTGCTATGCGGCCTCTATATGCTCTAATTCGTGTCCTCAAATCTCTTCTTTTTCCTTTTCGTTTTGTGAGCTGACTCCTCAGAGGGATTATCCGATTCTTTATCCCTACGGCGCTTCCGTTTCTCCTCAACGGTTGGCGCAGCTTCTTCGACCGGGGCAACAAACGCTTCTGCGCGCTTGGCCTGCCGCTCCTCTGTGACCTGGTCTTGCTGTGACAATTTTGAGTCAGGAGCGCTTCGGCTCGATCAAAAGGGCGCGTACCTTCTGTTTTCTCCTTCGTGCCTCCCGCTCTTGCTTCTCATTAGAGTTGAGGAAGTATTCTCCAGACTCGAGTTGCATATCCACCTAGTACAATCCAGACATGAGGTCTCAACTGAGTGACAACCAGTACTTCGACACTGTACCTTGCGAGGCATCTGTGGTGGCGGGAATGGCGTGTAAACCTTCTTAGTTTGTTGCCCTTTGCTTCCTGGACCAATGGGCTCCAGCCCGGCAGCCTTTCTTGCCTCGTTCTTATCCTTCAAACGGTCGTTCTTGCGTTCCGTCTTCTCCGACGTCTTCAGATGGTGTCTGCGGAACTTCGGCAGGAAGCGATCCCAAGACTCGTTCACAAGCTGAGGGTCTTTAGCAAGTTCACGTTTGATCATAAGTTCCTGGGACGTTTCAGCATGATGTTCGTGACAGTCGATAGCATCCATCTTACTTTGATCCGGTAAATTGGATGGATGTTCTTCATACAGTCCAAGATGATCCTTCGTACTTCTTTGAGACCTTTGTACGGACCCATGACACTGACTGTACTCCCCTGCACGAGAACGTAGCACTGCGTCAATAGCTCAATGGCCTAGGAAGATGTCAGATGTTTTTTTGGCATACATTTTGCCCAGCGAACCTTCAATGTACTCCCATCCGGACCAATAATCCTCTGTCTCCTCTTCACAAACCGCTCTTTGTTGCGTACAAGATTGCCAATTTTAACAATATCGCATGCTACACCGTCATCCAAAATTTTGACTGCTTGTCCAGCTGCGACACCGCGAGCGAGAAGTTTGATCATATCACGAGCTTTCAGAATAATGTAGGGGTCAAACGTTTTTCGTGTTGTTCTGACGGACATGGATCCATGGATCAAATCCAATGTACAGGCTATACCCTTGGTCACGGTCAGTCTTAAAGACGAACATATAGGAGATATGAGAGCGCACATGTGATTCCAAGGCTGTTGTCACAGCACTCCAAACTTCGCGCAAGTACTTCTCCCTGTATTTCGGAAAGAGGGTGGCAAATGAAGACTCTTCTGTGAATGTTCCACCTTTGTTGTCTTCAGGCTGGAATGTATCAATGGCCCACTGGTGATATCTTAGGGATGGATTCAGTTACAACTGCAAAGAAATCTTACGCTTTAATGTAGCGTCAGTGCTTGCCGTATATAGATCGGAAGGAACAATCTCACTGGTCTATGTCATCCGTGTCCCAAGCTGCCGCGCAGAGTGAGGGATTGATATGTTAAATCAACTTTGGTAACGTACGTTTTTCCTTCCTGTGTCGCTTGTTTTTGTTCACAACCTGTTCCGTTTGTGCACTGTCGGCCATCTCGTAGCTCCAGCTTGTGCGGTCAAATCAAATGCCGGCGTGAATGTCGCGGAGAAGGCTATAAGTAGAGACCTAGGTTGTCGCCGAACATTTCGGGCGACACGGTGGCTCAGATCGGCGCCTTCAGGCTTGTCTTCAGTCTGCTGTATTGTGCTTTCTCTCAGTTCTACCATATCATTCTCCGGCATGGATATTACCCCTGAAATCTCAGAGCCACTCGACGCGCTCTCCTACGACGAAACTGTTCCTTACGATGAATTGCTCCCCACACAACCGTCCGCCGAGTCTAGCCAGGCTCAAGCATCTCTCGCCCATCGCATTGGCAGCACCAAAGTTTATTTGTTGTCAGAAACGACTGGGGCGCGAGTCGGAAAGGTGCGCTGGTAGAGTGTCTCGACGGGCGAGGATGACAGCCTAATGAGAGAGTTACTGTCTCCGAATCCGACCTCATTATTTGTCGGGGTACCAGAGGAAACGTACGGCAGACGAAGGAGACGATGCAGATGGTGATGTTGACATGGACGAAGGTGCCCGAAAATCTTTGATACCCTACTCACTGTATTTACCGCCGCCGTCTAGATGCCCCTTACAGGGATAATGCAATCTTGTTCTGTGGCGCCCCAATATCGCATCTGCCCACCCCCAGCATATTCGCATACGCTACACATTTTGACTCACAACCGATGGCTCTCGAATGGATCGACGACAAGACGTGTATCCTCGTATTTTCCTCAAAGACAACAGCGCGCTCCGCCTTCCGATACTTATCAAAATCCATAGCGGAGGAACCATCCAAAGTGGATGGTTCTGTCACTGCGAAACCCATTCCCATTGCGCTATGGCCACCAGAAGAGAGGATAAGCAAAAGCTTGGGCAAGAGCGAGGGGTTGAAAGGTGCTATTCGGATGCGGTGGGCCACATTCCAGGACGTCAAGAAGAAAGGCGCGAAGAGGGAAAGCGAGTTTTACAAGAAGTACGGAGACAAGGCTGGAAAGAGCAATACCGAGGACGAGGTCAACTGGCCGGCGGACGATGATACGCGGCAGCGTAAGAAGCAGAAAGGAGACATGTTCGAGGAGATGGCACAGAAAGCACGCCTCGACGATGAACTGGACGCATTTCTTGCCGAGGACGATACTACAGCTCCCCGATCGCCGTCTCCACCTTCGAGGATGCGGTCCGATTACATGGATGGGAGGGGGAGGACTCTCTTAGAGCGAACGTCTGTGATGCGTGCGCGACCAGATACGTTGGCGTCTCGAATCATGGCAGAGCTTCCCAGTCGGGCTCGCTCCCGCAGAGGTCAGAGGCAGGACGATGGAGGAGGACAGTCTTCCGGACAGTCTGGCCATAGAGGGGAGGATGATGGGACACGAAGAGGGAAGGGCAATCCGCGTCCCAGAAAGACACAACAAGACCTTGACGATGAGCTGGATGCCTTCCTCAACGCCAAAGACTAGTGTAAATGTATCGTATCTCATATTTACCCTCCACTCACAAATGTATTTGTTTGTCCGCGAACGGACAGAATGAATGGCCGCAATAGATTGTATCCTGTGCATTCATAGCTTTTATTTGGCTCAGAATTGTAGTTGAGACATCGTATGGAATACACTGTACATTGCTACAAATTGGTGAACTACGTCCAAGATACCAGATCATACACCCCTAGTGGCAAGCTTTGACAAACCATCAACAAGAATCATACAGTCAAAATGAGACAACCCTACTGCACAATACAACCAAGACTGGCAGTTAGGATGTGAAGCCAATAATGTTAGCCTTGTAAGGTCAATGATACCATGGTTAACGAATTTCGGAACAAGCTCTTCAGTGGGCAAACCGAGTGAACTGATGAACTCTGCGACGTCGTCTGCGCCGGAGGAATTGATTCTTGTATCTTTCAAAGCTTTGAGCTGGATACCGTGCATCTCTGGCTGCCGGGATAGGGCCTCTAGCTTCTGACACTCAGCTAGCTGCTTGCTCGGCGGATCAGAGGATCGCGCGGCATTGGTCAAGGTCTGGTCAAAATAAAAACATAATGAGGTTCAATAAGCTCGAGCTGGAATGCGACTCACCGCTGCAGCAAGGTGCCTTGCATTAGATCGACACTTCATCAGCGTGCGCCCCCTCAAGTAGATTCGGGTGCACGTCGCAATCGGCCAAAATACTTCGTAATCATCGGCCTCCTTCCAGTGTCGAATAACCTGCATGTTTCTTGAATCTGATAAAATAAAAGGGCATCAAGTATGATATCCATACATCATTGTAATGTCGAGTCCAGTCTTGGGGAGCTTGAGCACTGTAGCACTTGTCAGGCTGCAGGTATTTCTAGGCAGACCGTTTGACTAAATCCTACTCAGTAGGACAATGTTAACGGGACACAAAGCAGAAGCCATCGAATCTTTACGTAGAACTTTGTCAACTGGAGCTTGGAGACCCGCATTTGAGGCATCAACGCCGGACGCTCCCTTGTAGAGCTAAAGAGGGCATCCGCAGTGATACGGGGCACCGGGATCGGCGTGCGCGGCGAGGTCTTTTCTGATCCTATACTAAAGAATTAGCCTCCCAGAATCAGGACAAAACACACCCGGGCACTCACTGGGCATATTGCTTTGCGGAAACTTACAGCTAAAATATAGGAAGATTAGACTTAAGCATCGAACGGCAGCTAGATTTTATTACCATCCGGTCCAGAGTCCGACTTCGATCTTAAATGTCCGCTGCTTCTCGTGGTTGTCCTGATTTCCTGTACATGTAGCGTGACACATTATAAACTACGGCCGTCGCGAGAACGATAGTGGGATGTAGCATGACATGGAGAAACGGCTAGGGAAACATATATTATGCATCAACGTCGCCCGACACACTGCGACAATCGACGCACAGACTTCTCCATATCTCGTCGCCAAGATTCGACTCTAGCCATAAAACATGGTGATTGAAGCAGAATAGGTAGAGTACATCTTGAATACGTCGCCTTCACCGCGAAATCATACGAGGAGCAAGGTGTGGGATCATCCACCGCTCCAGTGGGATGTGGAATGTAACTATCATCATGTCCTCCACCTACCGCTTTCCATGGCGCCATATATGCCCTTCCTCCTCTGATACGACCAAGTCACAATTTTTCCTCGACTACCGCTCCCGCCCAGACGAAACACACATACCAATAGCAGGGTTATCATCGAAAGGCCAGCGGGGAACACAGTGAGGAAGCAGCGGCAAGCCCCCTCACTTGAGAATAAGCATAAATTTGGCAACATCTAAATAATCAGACGAAAACGAGAGGCCCATCCAGTAGACGAATGTGGCAGATGCTTCAGACGCAAGCGAATGCGGTAACGAACATTCGTGCAACAGTCCATGGAGCCTACGATGATTGCAGTCAGCCGAAGCTGGGACATGAAATTGGTCGGACATACGACAGTAATCATCTTCTTCGCGCATGATCAGACGACACACCGTCATCGCCGCGAGGTCGAGCACGTCCTGCTCCTTGACAAAACAGCAGTGGATCACGGCGACCTCGCTGATCGGATCAGCGTTGGGTGTGCTGCCGTCCACAACCATAGCATCAGGATTGACGTCGACTTTCCGGCTTTGGACCAGCTCCACGAGCGCGCGACCGTTCAGATGGCCGCACCATCGCAGGTCAAGACGGGTCAGGCGCGGGCATAGACCCTCCCCGTCCCCCCCGCCATGCAATAGCTGCACGGTGGCATCGGAAATGGATGATTCGTGTAGACGTAGTTCCCGCAAATAGGGGAGTGCCCTGAACGCTGAAGCGAAAGCCCCAGGTGTCAGATCGATATCGTGTAATTCCAGTAGCTCCAGCGGAGGCGTGCTCTCGGCCAAGAAACGTAAAAGGCTAGGTCCCACCGGCTCCTGGCGGTATCCTGCGTCCTCAAGAGACCGCAGATGCAACCGCTGAAGTACGGGCGTATGTAAATGCGGCAAAAATTCATTCAGATTCGTGGGGCCGTAGAGGGTGAGTGAAGTCAGCACCGGGAGCGAGACCGTGCGCGCGGGGTCGTCTGAGGGCACAAAGGGTCTCTCGTACAGAAGTGGCATTTGAATCGCAAGCGTGTACAGAGAAGGGACGCCAGAGAGGATGGTCATGAGCGAGGATGCGGAAAGCGGCCGTTGAATGGGGCTATTGCCGACGCTGAGCGAGAGGTCGGTGATATGTGAGGGGAAGACGGGGAGGAGGGGCACAACGTCGCAACGAAACTGCACCCGGGAGAGCCGCGGTGCCTTTTCCGGCGCAAACGCTCGGGAAAGAGACTGCACGTCAGCCTCGTCTTCATTGACGGGCTCATCAAAGGGCGCAGCAATATCCACCCTGACTTCCCGTAGGTTTGGCACCGCGGCCGACGCCTCCACGATGGGCAGCAAAAGGCGGTAGACCTGGGAGAATGTCGACGACTCGATGACGAGTGTCCTCCACTGGTCAATGTGCTGCATGAGCAAGTCCATGAGGTCCGTCACTTGCCAGTTCGGGTTCCACCCACACAGCACGGTGATGTCCAACGGCGCCTGGCGCACCATGGAAAGCCAGAAGCGCGTGCGGGCAAGACCACCGAATGCGTCACAGTTCACATAGACGTGCGACCAGACGCGGGGGGCGAGTGCCGCCTTGCGCCAGGCCGAGCAGACGTGCGAGACGATGATGGGAGCGCGCGTGTAGCCATCCTCGACGCAGTGCTCGAAGATCTTGCTGAGCAGCTCTTCGGGAATGCGCCGCGCGAGAGTTGCTATGCCTTTGCAGTGTCGAATGGTTTGTTCGTGCTGACGCTGCTCGCGGCGCAGGTCATTGATTTCGGCGTGTAGAGACGCGATGTGCCCCTCGATGGCGCTGATGGCAGACTCGTGCTCCTTGATTTGCGCATTAGCAAAGAGCACGTCTTCGGCGGTAGGTTCGCGGCGATACACACTGATGTCCATCGCCATTCGCAGGCCGACTGGAGGATACGACGAACAGCTAAGCGAGGGAATTCAAGTCTGACTCGGCGTTCCGTAGCCTCGTGAATGCGCGCCATCCACGTGACGGCGTCTTTCTGTCGTGCGCGTTAGCCGCTGTTAGCCGCGTCGCCGACTCGTCTTTCAACCCGGCTGCCTGCGAGAGCAGAGGTGAGTGAAATGTTCTGCTTGTTCTGCCTAAAGATGATTCAGAGTGGAAGCTCAATCGACCCCCCAGTGTATCTGGCGCTGGGTCGAAAAGCAGACTCGGAATGTTCTAGATACTGCTGAAGTCGTTCTTTGCGTACCCCGTCAACAGACGACAGTCTCGCTGACCACATCTTTAGTTATAGGGATATTATTAGAAAATTTATCCTCTTGATGGACCCTCGGCGAGCGCGCGACCCTCGTCTTGCCCGTGCAGACCCGCGCCTGCAGCGGTCACACTCTGGTACGCCGACACACCCATCAGCGCCGCCAGCACAAGTCCAGTCCTCCGCATCCTACCCGACCCAAGCTCCCCAAAGCTCCTTTTCCTTATATCCAACCGCAACACCCCCACAATACCCCGGAGCCACAACTTCGAACCAGCAGCTTGCCGAAGAGGCCCAAGGTGCCGCCGCAATCCCCCAAGCGCCAACGCCGCCTCAGTCCACTATCTACAGGCCCCGCCCGCTTTTCTGTGTCGTATGTGCGAGCAACCAGGTGAGCAGACCGTTATTTTGGCTGGATGTGTGCTGACTCCCGCTAGAATCGATCTATGGAGGGCCACTACGTGTTGTCGTTGGTGGCAGTCAATTTATTCTCATCAGCAAACTGTGCTCACGCATCACCACAGGAAGGCCGGATACAGGGTGGTCTCGTACGGCACGGGATCCGCAGTGCGTCTGCCCGGCCCCGCCATTGACAAGCCGAATATTTACCCGTTCGGGACACCGTACAACGACATGTACGAGGAGTTGCAGGGGCAGGACCCCCGTCTGTGAGTCCGCACGCCTTCATCCTCCGACGATCGCTCATCTTGCATCTAGGTATACCGCCAATGGCCTCTTGCAGATGCTCGACCGCAATCGCCGGCTAAAGCTGGCCCCCGAACGGTGGCAGGACAGCAGGACGGTTGCAGACGTCGTCATAACCTGTGAAGAGCGGTGTTTCGACGCTGTTTGTGATGGTGGGACACGTTGGAACGTCGTTGATACCGCAGGTGGCTAAACGGCGTTTCGCAGATTTGCTGGCAAGGGGAGGGGATTTCAACAAGCCGGTGCATGTCATCAATATTGAGATCAAGGATAATCATGAAGAGGCCCACATCGCTGGCAAAGCGATCGTGGACTTGGCGGCCGCGGTGAGCCACGTCGGCCGCCCGCGCGCATGTGTGTATGCTAACCGTGCGGCCGGGCAGATCGAGGCATCCGGCGACGTGGACGAGGATATGGATAAAATTCTCCAGACTCACCAGGAGAAGCATCCGCACAGCCTACTGCACGCTGTGGCTTACTACTAATCATTGACATCTGTGCGTGTGTGATATCGCTTCGAAAAACACGAGCTGAGTTTGGATCTGATATTCCTGATAGCTGCTGGGCCGGCCGCCTGCAAGGTACTGCAACCGGTATTCCCAGCCCACATGATGGCAATCTTACCCCGTCACCTCTGAGTCTCCACTCGGATGGCGAGATCGGCCGACATGCGCAATATCAAAGAATATCAAGCACCTAATTAACATGGAGCCGCATTAGCGCGTAGCGATGGTATCGATAGAATCTAGCGTCGGATGCAGTTGCGCCTAGGGGGGAATTGAGTTTGTGTGTATATTTATCAACTTCTATTGGTGACGATGTTCGGTGATGTTGTTTCTCTAAGGTCTAGCGTGTATTCTACTCAGCTATCGTATGAGTAACCTGCCCTCGTGATTGCGTCTTCATGTCGAATTACGTTCATAACTCCGGAGAGCTGGGCCCACTCGACGCCCAGCCAGTGCCGTCTGTGCACCCTTTCCCCTGCGGGAGGAATGCCCCACTGGCCACTCGCTAGTTGCACACAGCGCCCGCTGGGTCTCCATTCACCCCAAGTTCTCTGTCCGGCTGCTGTGCGCCGCCCCAGCCTCGCTCATGCTCGACTGCGAGCTGGGCGCACCCCGTGGGAACCGAAGACGCGATAGTGATGCAGGACGTGCTCACTGTCATCTGCAGGGCTTGTCGCTCGATTGCGTTCTCGGTCGCCCGTGGCTATAAAAGCGCGGGCTTCCGGCCTGAGCGAGGGCCAAGGTTGTCCTGATCGCCGCCTCCTCCGCCCCTCCCCCGCGCCCACACACCCCGCACGACAGACTCCCGCCATGTCCAGCCTCCGCCTCGGCAGCATCGCCCCCGACTTTGAGGCAGAAACCACGCAGGGCCCGATCCGGTTCCACGAGTGGATCGGAGACTCCTGGGTAGGCGCGATGCATCTTTTGTGGTGGGAGACCGGGGCGCTGACGCTGCTGTACGCTATGATGTGATGTGATGTGATGGCGCAGGCGATCTTGTTCTCGCATCCTGGAGATTTCACCCCCGTGTGTACGACGGAGCTCGCCGAGGTGTCGCGAAAGTGAGTCGGCCCCTTTCCGGGCGCACGCTGCGTGCTGACGGACGCGCGCGCGCGCGCGGTGCAGGGCACCCGAGTTCGCGAAGCGCAACGTGAAGGTGATTGGCATCTCCGCGAACGGCCTGCAGGACCACGCGAAGTGGATCGAGGACATCAACGACTTTGGCACAAAATTCCTGGGGCCGACGAATGTCCAGTTCCCCATCGTGCGTGCCGTCCCCCCCTCTCGCTAGGCGCGAGACTAAGACGCATATGTGCAGATTGCGGATGCGGACCGTAAGATCTCGACGACGTACGACATGCTCGACGAGCAGGACGCGACGAACCGCGATGCGAAGGGCCTGCCGTTCACTGTGAGCGCCCCCCGCCACTACTCGCGCGCAGCTCCGGCGGTGCATGCATGCTGACGGGGGTTGCCCCCCCTCTCTCTTGGCTGTGTAGATCCGCACTGTCTTTGTAATTGATCCCAAGAAAGTCATCCGGCTTACGATTGCTTACCCCGCGTCCACCGGGCGCAACTTTGACGAAATCCTTCGGTACGTTCCGCGTCATTGCATGCGATGACATTCGTGTCACTGACGGGGCGGTTCGTAGGGTCGTGGATTGTAAGCACTCGCGCGCTCGCGCCAGTATCGATATGTGCTGACTCGGCTGGCTTTATGCAGCGCTGCAGCTCGGCGACAAGTACCGCGTCACGACACCGGTGAACTGGAAGAAGGGCGATGATGTGATTGTGCATCCCTCTGTGTCGAACGAGGAGGCGAAGACGCTGTTCCCGGATGTCACGTTCCACAAGGTGGGTCCTGCCTTGGGCGTGGTGGGGCGGGATCGAGTCACTGACGAAGATGCTCGTTGTTGCAGCAAACATACCTCCGGACGACGCCGCTCAAGGCCGAGTGAAGGGCTGCGATCGGGGAGGAAACAAATGCGTGCGAGGCGGTGTACTTGTATCTGGAAACCTCGGCCTGTGCGAGTGGTGAATGCAAACGTGTATCTTGTCTCGGATCATCGTGCAGCTCGGCGTGGCGCGCTGCGCTTTGCTTGCGTGAAGTTTTGAACGCTACTACTGAATGTGTTGATGTGACGTGCATCATCCATCGTGCAGACTCCGCCGCGTCTATTATTGCGAGAAGCCCGAGCAGGCTAGTTTCGACGCGGGCGGCTGATGCAGAGACTGCCAGGGCACCCCATATTCAATCGCTGCTTATCCATGGTACCGGTGCCAGCAGCGTCAGAGTGTATCGTATCGCATTGTATCGTAAGATCCGCAACCGACCGGACGACGCTAAGCACAATGCGGCAGCCTTCACGCACGCACGCAGGGTGCAGTAAGAAAGAGCAGGAATGGCCGAAGCCCAGGGAGCGTCTGCGCGCAGCACGCGCGGAGAGGATCAAAGTTGGTCCGAGTGGTTTGAATGCCGGAGGGGTCCTCGGCTCCCACAGCCCCCCTAGCCTCCACCACTGTGGACGGCGACGGGCGGCAGGCAACGCCAGCCTCCTGCCAGGCCCGGGCGAGCGTCGAGCGAGGTGCGCGCGCCCGGCTTCGGCCCCGGCCAGCCCGAGCGCACTGCGAGGGCGCTGAGTACGCCACGCGAGCGGCGCGTGCGCCCGTCGCCGGCGTGCGTCACGTGTGTGTGACGGTGACGGGCGCGCGACGCGCGTTCGCAATTCTGCGTTGCACACGCGTCCTCTCCTCCATCCTCCTCGCTCCCCATCCGATCCGTTTACCCTCCACCTCCATCCGACCACTCTATAGACAGACAGACAAACAGACAAACATGGCGAGCGCAGAAGGCGGAGCATACAGGCGAGTGTGGGCGTGCGGCGCGCGAGTGCGCGAGTGCTGATCGGGGCAACAGCTACTCTTTGACGGTGTTTTCGCCGAGCGGGAAGCTCGTGCAGATCGAGCACGCGCTCGCGGCGGTGGCGCAGGGGACGACGAGCCTCGGAATCAAAGGTGCGTGTGCGCGGTGCGCTGTGGCTGCGGGGGCGCGCTGACCGGCGGGCGGGCGCAGCGGCGAACGGGATCGTGATCGCGACGGAGAAGAAGGCGCCGTCGCTGCTCATCGACGACTCGATGATCGAAAAGGTCGCGGTCGTGTGCCCGAACATCGGGATCGTGTACTCGGGGATGGGCCCCGACTTCCGCGTGCTCGTCGCGCGCGCGCGCAAGAGCGCGCAGGCGTACTGGAAGGTGTACAACGAGTACCCGCCGACGAAGGTGCTCACCCAGGAGATCGCGACGATCATGCAGCAAGCGACGCACTCTGGGTGCGTGCCGGATTCTGTGCTGCCGTGCTGTGTGTGGCGGCTTGCTGACGGCTCTGCTGGGGTCTGCGCAGGGGCGTGCGCCCGTACGGGGTGTCGCTACTCGTCGCGGGATGGGATGTGAACCGCGGGCCGAGCCTGTACCAGGTGGACCCGTCTGGGTCGTACTGGGCATGGAAGGCGAGCGCGATCGGCAAGAACATGGTGAACGCCAAGACGTTCCTCGAGAAGCGGTGCGTGGTAGTGTTGCGCAGGGTGCGTCAGGGGTGCTGACGGCGGGACGGCCGGGTGCAGGTACAACGACGACATTAGCCTGGAGGACGCGATCCACACGGCGCTGCTGACGCTGAAGGAGGGCTTTGAGGGGCACATGACGGAAAAGACGATTGAGATTGGGGTGGTGACGGTGCCCAGCGAGGCGGACCTGGCGGAGGGGAAGGTGGCGGGGACGGGGCGGGCAAAGGCGACGTTCCGGAAGCTGTCGGAGGAGGAGGTGCGAGACTACCTGGCGATGTAGAGCGCGTGCGCGGGGAGCATGTATGAGTGCACTCTGATGCTGATGTGTGTGTGTTTCATGGAGATTGTACGTTTATTATTGCAGTTCGCTGTGCATTGACGGGGTGAAACTGGAGCTTGGCGATTATCAGATAGCTGTTGGGAGCCACGTGGGGACAAAGTGGTGGCTGGGCTAAGCCGTTCCGGCGCAAGAGGATTGTCATAGAGACTGGATCGACTAGCCGAGTCCGGCCGGTGCTGATGAATGGGCGCACGCGCCGCCATCGCCATCGCCATCGCCATCGCCGCCGCCGCCGCCCGACGAGAGGGCGTCGGGGTTTGTCAGAGGGCACGCAGCTGAATCACCGGGGGCGGATGACTAAGAGGGCTGGTGGGCGGCAGGGCTCGGGGTCCGGGGCTAGCTGAGGCAGCCGTGGGGGTGCCGAGGGCGATCGTCTGGACAGGCGTCGAGGACGAGCTCCGTATGGGCCGCGGCCACCCACGCCGAGCCGGGGGAGTGGCGGCGACTGGGGCCCCGCCGTGCGGGTTTTGGGGGGACGTGTTTCACCGACGGGGCGGGCAGGCGGGCGGGCCGCGGTGCTCCTGAGCTGAGGCGAGGCAGAGGAGCTCAGAGTCAGGAGGGCGCAGAGTAAAATTAGAGGGAGGTGTGTTTCAGGCAGACGCGATCCACCGTCGCCCACACCCACAGCCGGCGCTTGGGCAGTGCACGGGCGTCTCCGGATCTGTGATTCCCTCGTGCCTCCAGCCCACGAGGAGTCCGATCCCATCTGATCCTTCGTCAGCGCGCTCTCTCCCTTTTCGTCCTCCCTTGGCGCTCGGCCTCTGCTCGCCCTCCCCGTATAAATCTCCTGATGGCCCGTCCCCGCCCTCTCCATTGCCCTCCTCCTCCTCCTCTGTCCCACCATGGACGGCCCCAACCCCTCCCACCCCGCCC